TAAAACAATCATCATTAAATTTTTGGTATCAGTAGTTTAATTGGTATTTTATTATGACATGAAATTCTAAGACGTAAGACTAAATTCTAAGGCTTTGAGTTTTGGTGTTTAATATTTCTTTCTGGGTATCCATATTTAATACTCCGAAGAGAATTGTTAAAAATGTTGAAATTTTCATTTATATAAATCTCTGATTTTATTCTATCTTCCCATTTAAGTAATGCTTTGGAGTTCCTTTTTTAATCTACATATATTTTTATTATACTTGAGTACTAAAACACTTTTCGTGAGTGACTAATGCGGCAGTTTAAATATTCGGGTAGCTCTAAACAAGCGATTCAAAGCTAAAGATTCTGGTTTGTTTACATTGGCGGCACATTTCATCGATCTATCATTCCAATCACCGCTACTATGACGACTCTTCCGCCTTTGAGCGCTAAGAGCACTAGAAAAAGCGTAAATTCCGCTGAATGGATAAATGTTTTTTTTTTCTTCGTGACAGACTTTAGTGCAGCTTCAAAGGAAAATATTGTGTGATTATTTTGGCAGTTTTTGAGATATTTTTAAAACATATGTTCACTATTAGTCGCTAAAAGTCTAAAAGTAAATAGTTTGTGAAGGGATGACAATTTTTAACTATTCTTTATTAAAGACGTTTCATGGTAAATGATGAATCACTTTGATATACATATGTTTTTATTAACAAAAATTTTAAGTTACTTACTTCGCGTTGGTTACATTTAAAATTAGGTTCCCAATTTAATGTTTAGTTATAATTTTTTATTATTTAACTAAATTTTTATAATTTACGCGGTGGATGTCGTGGGAAAACAGCTAGTGAAATAAATACCTATAATCTAATACTTAAATAAAATAATTGATAACCTTCTCATTTGAAGACTGTTTAAAGTAATCTAATCACGCCTTTACTCTACACCTACTTATTTTTACTTTATTGCGATAAAAACCTTATTCATTTATTTCTTATATTTTTTCTTTCCAGGAGATATACACGAGTCCCACTTTCGTGTTGGATAATTGTGACACATTTGACGTGGAGCCAGGAAAATTAGGTGAGAATTCGTGGACGTTTCTAAAGAAGTTTTTGATAAAAAAAAACACATTGTCATGCATTGCGAAAGTGTTAGCGCTGAGCGAATTTAATTCTGGTGAAATATTATCTAAATTCAAGTTAAATGTCGTTTTGGCTGTTATTCACCAACATTAAAGGGTTATTAAGGCTTGGCTTAAAGACAGAGAAAACGAAACGAAATCAACGCACGCCAATGAGATAGACAGGGACAGAGGATTGCGTAATGCCCGTCAAAAGCTACTTTTAAATATTTACTCGAAAACATTACAATGTTTGAAAAGTGATCCGTGAATTCCTTGCCTAAAAAGCTATATGGTATCTCTATCAACTTTCTCTATATAAAAAAGATGCAATTACGATAAGAAATTTTAAATAATATTTGAGGCAAATTTTTCTATCGAGAAAATTGTACCTATAAATTCACATATTAACTTTGTCAGAACCCTTACAAATATGATCTAATTTAGTTTTTTTTTTAATTAGTTAGGTCAACTTATCAACTTATTTGTACAAATCAATCGGAAGTTAATGATTATTGGTGTATCCACGCGCCCTTTTAATGGGTCAACTGCTGAGGCATAGGCTTACTCCCTTTCCTTTAGAATGAAACATAGGGAGGACCCAGGTGGTCCCAGGTTAGATTCACTATATCATTTAACCCCTGATAGTAAGGACTGCAGAGGCAGAGAAAAATTATGAGAATTACAAACTAATAATATTTGTAATAGAGTGAATTCGGATGCATATAATAAATTTATTTACTATAATCATTTCTTGGTAGCTGTTCCAATATTAATAGGTTTTCTCAGCTAATTTATTAGGTTACTACAACCGGTTCACTAGGTAACTCTATCAAAGTCGAACCAAAGAAGTACTGAAGCTAAAATAATATTTTCTTAGCGTGCAAAAGTTGATGAATAACACGCGCTAACCGCTGGACCGTCGAGCTTGGGCTGGGGAAGTCCATATTATTTCATAATAATGACGTTAGAAACAAGACTATTTCGTGTAACAAAGGGCTGCTTCCACAGGATACGGATAATTATATCTAACATTTTTAGACAGATTTTCTACGTAATTATTATCTGCCGGATGTATTAATTGGAATCTAACCGGAAGCTGTGACATTAACATTAAATATCACGTCACCTACTTCGACGTCGACTAATATTAAATGGATTTACGTCCCCAGTTCAATGAACCCTGCAGATATTCTATCTCATGGTTGTGACAATTGTATAACTTGCATATTAGTGATGATTTTAAAAATCAAATTAATAATTTTTGTTTACAAAAAGGTATACAATTTCATTTTATTCCCAAATACAGTCCCAATCATCTAGAAGTCCTTGTTTTATAAGTGCGTAGGTAATCGACTGTCACTAAGGATGCAATAAGTTAGCATATAATATAATTATTTTTTTTTCAATTTTCAGTAATAAAAAAATGTTCAAAACGTCCTTAATTCTACTACTACTATGTTAATCAATTTCATATTTTAATGTAAAAATATTATTTCGAAAAAGTCCATTTTCAAGTCCAGTCCCAGTACCTACTACTACGTCACCAAAAAATGTGTAAAAAATTGGTACCTACCAAAAATCAATTTCTTTTTGATAAAAACTATGACTTTTCCCCTGTGAAACATTAAAAAATTAAGTTATAGATAAATCATTTAAACTTTAGCGTTGCATTATATTACATTGTACCTATGAAGCGGGTATTAACGCGATAGATTGATAGTTAGGTTTTTCACCTACCTATATATCCCGACGTTTCAATCTGGATTCACCGGCCGTGTAACCAGATCGCGAGGGCCCGTGAGGGCTGACTGTTGCTGCTATGCTCCGTCTCCTCTTCTGAAGTGAAAACCATTTCCAGCGTCTAGTTTTTTCCCCAGGTACCGTAACATACAACAAAACAGAATCCCTATTCTGTATCACAGCCGTATTTTGCATAAATTTTTTTATCACTGGATTCCAAGTTATTGATAATTTAAAACCATCTTCACGATTGAAATTGCTGGGATGTTTTTTTATTTCAATCGCCTCACGCACAATCCGCAAATAGAAATGGCGAATCGCGAAAAGTACCCGTGTACCTACGATGGAATTAATGCAAGTAAATGTTTTTCTGAATTCAAAATCATATAAAATCATATATTGGGCCGGAGTAGGATGATCTTTTTCTGAACAATTATATCAATTAACAGTTGTGCTACGAAAGCGCTGCAGTGCGTTCTTTCTAATAGAAAGTGGTTTTGTATTTCAATAATAAATAGCTAGTAACAACTTCATAATATGAAACGTATTTCTTCTAATTAATTGGTTTTCCGATATATATATTATTTTACCGATGCAATAAATGGGAATTTATATTTGAAAAATATAAAAGCGATGTTTCATAAGTGGAATCTCGCTGGTTCGTACTTATTGGTTCGTATTATGATTCGTATTAATGGAAAGTGACTTCAAATTTTAATGAAGTCATTTTTCAATCTTGACGCTCTGTATGAAATAAAACAGGGAGAAAAAAGCAACCCTTGCCGAGTTTCTTGCCAGTTCTTCTCGGTACAAGGTCTCCCGCCGTAGATTTACGAACCGATGGCGTAGCTCTCGACTTTCACAAGTGCTTGTAACAGCCTAGACTGAATAAAAATTCTTGATTTGATTTGATTTATCTTGGGGATAGAATTAAAGAAAATCCTTTCTTAGGGGATGCCTACGTCATAGTAGCTTTATGCATGCAAAGTTTCAGCCCACTCGATTTAAGATTGACAAAGTTTCATACAAATATTCAACCCCTATTTTAGTCCCTTGGGGATAGAATTGATCAAAATCCTTTCTAAGCGAATGCCTACGTCATATCATCTACCTTCATGCCAAATTTCAGCCCAATCCATCCAGTGATTTGGGCTGTGCGTTGACAGATCACTATGTCAGTCAGTCACCTTTGAGTTATATATATATTTAAATTAAGAAAATATAATGAACGACCTTTTAATCTAGAATTGTAAAAGCTGTTAAAACATCCAAATTACTGCCATTTATACAATGAACTTGTGTCAACCTTGATAAATAAGAAACAAAGTGGATTTTGTTATCTCATTTACTCTTATAGGCAAATTCAATTGTGGTTATGAGACAGATACTTACTTTTTAACTTACTATTTTCAACTTACTTTTATCGTGGTTTCTATCCTTTAGTAAATATTCTAATCTATTATTTTTACATATAGATAAATTATATATTTCATCTGAATTCTAAGGTCTAACAGAGTTTCCCAAACAATTTTTTCTCGTAGACCATTTTAAAAAATTTACTAGTTTCGGTGGACCCCTGCTTCTACATTTTTACCATATTCCCAAAATTCATCCAAAATGTGAAGATCTAACGATGGAAATTATCGCCCTATTTTTATTTCACGCCAACGTAGACTCCCATTGAATCCCTGGGGTCCACCTGGACCACTCAGGGAATCACTGGTCTAAACCAATACAATTGACATAACGTTGACATTAAATAAAATTGACATGGGCATTACAAATCTTTAGATTCCATATATTTTACATACTCTTTATGGTTAAATAGCTGTTGTATGCAAAATTCTACTTTATTATGAAGATTGGTGCATTTTTAAGTATTTTTTTATTAATTGTACAGAACATGCGACTTATTTATCATTATAAGCAGAGTTACAATGGTTACCAATTAATAAAATAATCGACAGATGTCACACTATTTAAAAAAATAAAATTGAAATATGCGACTGATACACACACTGGGTGGTCATTAACTATTTGTAAGAAGATAATATTTAAGGTGAAAACACAAGCGAATTTCTTATAACATCATGCAAAAGAAAACCTTCTGAAGACTAAGCTTGGCTTTTGCTGGATAAGTAGAAATGATTGCAGGTGATAAATGGCTGGTGTCGTGTCTTGGCGTGCTGTACCTAAATAAAGGGCTATTCTATCGGGTCGTGCCCGCAGACCAGCGGATGGATTCTCCTTACGCTGGTGTATTCAGGTGAGCAAGGATTAAAATATGAATTTCTTCTATTTGTGTTCTGTCTCTCTCTATCATAAAAATGTAGATAACGTACTTTTTTTATTGTCACGGGTCTAGGTTTCGTAGTACCTTCTTTATTCGCTTATACAAGCGCTAAAAAGAGATATGAAAATTGTCTCACCTACGTGAAGCTACAATCACCTAGCGGCTGACGTAAACTATAATTTATATATGTTTATATAGGTTTTATTTAGCCTTCGTCACTTTTCGAAGTACTTAAGTAATCCTTAACTTCTTTATCAGGTTCCGTCTATGGTGGTGTGGACAGTGGCTAGAGGTGCTGGTGGACGACCGACTGCCGACTGTCAACGGCAAGCTGGCTTTCCTGCAAACCAGCCACACTGGACAACTTTGGCCCGCTTTACTTGAGAAAGCCTACGCAAAGTGAGTTTCTTTCGTCAGCACCTATTAATGTCCCCATTACTAGGGCACAAGCCTTCCCTATCAAACCGGATAGGAAGAATGACTCAACACGCGGGCCCAGCGTGGATTGGTGGCTGTTAACGGCTGCAGTTGCAACTGGCAGATACGGTTTTACGTGCTTTTCAAAGCACGAAGGATCTCGAGATAATATGTTTATGTCACTCATCATAGCAACGCAGACCGAACTCGTTAACCACTGCACCAAACACTAATTAAAAGAATGGCTATCTCTTGGTGTAATAACGTTGTAAGATCATTGCTGTGGTTTACTAAGATGTATCATGTGAAACGGAATCGTATTTGTAGGAACGTTAGCCCTTTATTGTACCATTACAAAAGAATAATAGAAATCAATGCCATCTCTCGTTGCAAGGAAATATTATAATTGTGACCACATAAGCTTTGATTGTGTACCTGGTATATTATATTCAAAGGAGTATTGATTAATTCAAACAGTACAATATCAACGTTGGATCTACCACTGCAACAGCAGTTAGATATTGTATTTTGGCATCGTATCGTATTGAAACTAATCTGTGCTTGATGTTAACATGTTGATTAATAATGACCTCAAGCCGGAGGCACCTTTGATGTTAGTTTAGTTGGACCTAGTTGGATATTCAAATTTACTTAACAAGGATATCCAGTGTCTGCGGCTGCCTAGGTAACCAACCATGTAGGCACTAATTGGATAGCGAATTATGAATTCAAAATTGTATCCTATTATTCGTTTGCGTACTTTGAACCAAATAAAAGTAATGTTAAACCGAAGTACCGAGGAAACCAACTAAAAACAAAAGAAATGATTGCGTGCTACTTATGTAATAGATACTTGCAAATCTTTATTTAAAAGTAAAAATATATTACCGCCGTCATGTTTTTACGTATTTGAATTATGAAGTCAACAATAAAAGATTATATGTGCCATACCCTTATAAAAACTAATTCATATTCTATGTCCATTCGCATATTCAACAAACTACATATTGACATTTTTAAATGTATTTTTGTCATTTTTTTATTGTAATTATAATTAAATATTTGGGGACGCTACGTATTAGTAGATATGTTATGGAAACATATTATATTAAACATATGGTGATAACAATTTTGAACTTCAGTTGTTCTGAAGTTCAAAATTGTTATCACCATATGTTTAAACAAATAATGCTTTGATTTGATTTTAATATTAATATGGAATAGGTATGTGTTAACCCTGACTGTTACTATCAAATTGTATTAAATAATTGAATATTATGAAGTAAGTGAAAACTGTAGGCAATAATTTATTACACAGGGTAAATAAAAATGTAGGTATAAAAATGAATTCGTTGTCGGAAACGCAAGCATTTGCCCAGGTTTTATTTGAAAAAAAGAAATTGAATTTGTAAATATCTATTTATTTGGTTTTTTCAGATATACAAAATCTATTCAAAATTGCTGTTGTTATAGATTTAAGGGACCAAACTTAAATTTTAGGGACTTAATTAATAAAGTGGACGCACCCATTGGTAGAGATTTCAAACGTCGCACAAAATGGGTATCGTCGTCTTATTAACTGCGCACCACCTACCGAAGAGCTAGGGGCCAATTCTACTAAATAAATTTTATTTAAATCGAATCGAAAACGGATCGAAACCCAACGAAACTACAGTTTTTAATGATTTATTTAGTAGAATTGGCCCCCTGTACTCCCGTCGGCATCTATAATACCGAGGAAGTAGGTCGTCCCACCATATATACTATTATACGAGGGTCAAACTGAAAGTTCTTAGAACTGGCCACTTATAAACAATATAATAAAAAAATAATTCTAAAATTTGAAAATATAACTCTTTGCCAATATTACTGAGTATATATTTCATTCATTTGTCATTTGTTTTACGATTTGGCGGCAAATTGAAAATTGTCTGTGTCACGTCATCATGAATTTAACACGAGAAAATTTTCGTGCAATGATTTTTTATGACTTTCGATGTCATTTAAGTCAACAAGAAAGTTATGATAGACTACGATTGGCCTTTCACGATGAAGCCCCATCTCGTGCGACTGTTTACAACTGGTTTAATGAGTTTAAACGTGGTCGCACTAATCTCACTGATGATTTACGTGAGGGACGGCCTTCTACGGCGACGACTGAAGATAACATCTGTGTTGTGCGGCGTATGATAGAGACTGACAAAAGAGTGACCTATCAACAGATTCGGACAAGCTTAGGCGTCGGTATGAGTCAAGTGCACAAAATCCTTCACGAACATTTAGCGGTCAGGAAGCTTTGCGCCCGGTGGATACCTCATAATTTGACTGAGGCTCAAAAACTCCATCGTGTGGATTGGTGTCGTAAAATGATTGAAAGATTTAACGGAGGTGACTCAAATGCTGTGTTCGACATACTAACAGGTGACGAAAGCTGGATTTACTGTTATGATCCTAAAACCAAAAGACAATCTGCTCAGTGGGTGTTTCCTTTCGAGGAGTTGCCAACTAAAGTGAAGAGAGATCGAAGTGCGGGAAAAAAAATGGTGGCCTCGTTCTTTGGAAGGATAGGTCATTTTGCAACAATTGTGTTAGAGGATCAAAAAACAGTTTCTGCAGAATGGTACACTACCAATTGTTTGCCACTTGTCTTGGAAAAAGTTCGAGAGAAACGACCTCGCAGTAGGATCCTCCTTCACCACGACAACGCCTCGTCGCACACCGCCAAGCGAACGATCGACTATTTGGCGACATCAAACGTTGAATTACTGGGTCACCCGCCGTATAGCCCCGACCTCGCGCCTTGTGATTTTTATTTATTTCCAAAAATTAAAGAAAAACTTAAAGGAAAGCGGTTTATGAATGCTGAAGAAGCGGTGGCTGCGTATCGCGATGCCATTGAAGAGACCCCTAAGGACGAGTGGGCAAAGTGCTTTTCCCAGTGGTTCCATCGCATGCAGCGGTGTATTGACGTGAATGGACAATATTTTGAAAAGATATAATAAAACTAATAACTGGCTAATGTAATCAGTTTTTGATTTTCTAGGAACTTTCAGTTTGACCCTCGTATGCATCCCATTTATGCCCTTGAACTGGATTGAAATCATTAGCGCAATTTTATATAAAAAATTATAGGCAATTTTGATTGTGTTCTGAATAATAGATATTTACGTCTCATTTTAAATGTGTCATCTGTCTTTTTCAAGAAATTAAATAAAAATACGTTGCATGTCATTATCATTTGAATAAAACAACCTGTATAAAATTTTAATAATAAAATCAACCGCAATGGCATGTGAAACTAAAATTATGTAGGTATATAAAGCTATGCTATTCGCTCCAACAGCATGGAGGTTTAATAAATAAATAAAAATAAACATATGCGTACCTCAATAGCGCTTACGAAGTTTTTGAAATCCATATAAAATATAAACTGAGAAAGCAGCGAGTTCGCTACTGATTGCGACGGTCCTACACTGGCAAACATACAGAAACCTATTGTACATGTCTACAGATTAGACAGACGTCTTGTGTCTTCCCCTAACCCGGTGGAAGTTACATTGGCCTTCCAATAATCGGTACGGTCTATTATTCCATATATTACTGGTAGGCATTTCAAAGTATCTTTTATAAGAAGTTGAAATTCTCAAAGAACGACAAGATAAATACAAGAGATATATGTATTACATATCAGTTTTTGACTCAAGCTAATTGATCTAATGAAAAACCGTTTAATGGAATAATAAGTAACCAATATGTTAATACAGACTTAAATTACCCTTATCTAAATTTCATCAAATAGGCTAGTTGAAAAACTTTTTTTTATTTCATAAATAAATAGTCCATTAGCATCTGAGAAATAATGTCGAAGTAACAGCATGTCTGCGATTAATAGTTTTGGAAATACGGTACTGTGTTTGTAGAACTGCTGCTAGTTGGCCGAAAACGCTCCCTACAAATTCAAGGCACTCAGTGACGTCACACGGTGCTACAGTAGCGAAAAATGTATGGGCGTCTGGACATTTTTTGTAATATCTTTGTTATTTGTGCGTTTATGTTTATAGCTGTTATAATGAAAGTTGTAACATTTTTATATCTAATTTAATGCCTTATGTATTTTAGCAAATTTTTGTAGTAGATTTTCATTACTTTTTTCAAGTTTTCAAAGCGTAATATTTTCCAAATCAGTGACTTAAAATTTGTTTTGTTAAACGTTTATAAGTTAAAATGGTTCATATTTTTCGTAGATATAACAAAAACCTGTATTTTCACTTGTAGGACACAAGTCTATTGTATTTGCTCAGTAGCTTTTAGCATCATCACTACATAGTATAAAATAAAGTCGCTTTCTCTGACCCTATATCCCAATGAATGCTTAAATCTTTAAAACTACACAACGGATTTTGATGCGGTTATTTTTTATAGATAGGGTGATTCAAAAGGAAGCTTTTATGTACAGAGATGTGACTTATCTTAGATACAAGTATTTGAAGTACAGATACAAGATACAAAATACGTATTTTCATCTTGTATCTAAAATACTTTTTTTAGGAAGTATTTTGTATCTTCTATTTAAATACTTTAGTTTAGTTTCTTAGTATCTTTTAAATACTTTTTCTGATAAAATACTTTATTAAAAGATTGTTTCTTACATTTTATAAATATCTTTACCTTAAACATACATATCTACAAAAAGAAAGTGTCCAATTATCAACGCAATGAATATTTAGTTGAAAATAACTTGAATCCAAACATTGTTTGGTGTCATTTGGTGGTGAAAAAATGAATTTTCAGTTCTCCGTAATTTTCTCATCTGGTCTACGTCGTAATACGTCGTCGTACGTAAAACCAGCTTTTTAAATAAATAATAATTTTATAATTAAATTTAAATAATTATTCTTGTTGTTATATTTGAGCAATTTTTCATTCACAATTCTATATTGAAAAAACTTATCATTAAAAAGGAACTAAAAAATTTAAAATAATTTAAACCTGATGTATTTAATATTTGCATTTTTATATGTTACATTGTGATTGACAAATAAAAAAAAAACATTTCAGGCTTTTTTAATTTGTTATCTCCAAACGGAGGAAAAGTGGGTGAAATTTAGCTTGTAAGATTTGAGTACAAACACCGGTACAGGTGAAACTAAATAAAAGCTTGTAAAAATTGTTTCTAATGAAAAATGCTTAAAAAATCCACTTTGTCCCTGGTCCCATCTGGTCCAAGATTTAGTTTCTTGTGATCTTTAATAAACAAACTTAAATTCAAATCTTTTTTTAGAAAAGTATTTGTATTTATCAAAAGTATTTATAAGATACCTATTTTGTATCTAGTATTTCAAATACTTTTCTCGAAAGTATTTCGTATCTGGTATCTGAAATACTTAATTTAAAAGTATTTTGTATCTTGTATTCCAGATACTTTGTACAGGGTATTTTGTACATCTCTGTTTATGTATAATACAAGACAACGCGGGCAAAGCCGCTGGCGGAATCAAACATAAATAAATCTATCCTCCCATTTATGGCATAGTACCTATACAAAACGATATAACTTACCATTAACTGCACAACTAACCCCAACAAACCCAGCCGTGTGGAATAGTTTAATTGGGAAATACGTGGGCGCTAAACAAGAATTTATCTATCCTATTGTTATTATGAAATGTGAAGTGAAAAATGAATTTATTGCTTCCATAAAAGAATTAACTAGAGCAGGGTCGGATATAGACTTTTGCCTGTAGCAAGCTAATAAAATTATGCCGCTACTCCCGATTCAGATTATCGATATTCTAATTGACAGTTATTAATTACATTAGATACTCTTAGCAAACACTCATATTTCTGCTCCGTCTTCTCTTCCTCTCCCGGCTTTAACCCTAGTTCTTGCCCATTGCGCCCCAGTGAGGCAGATGGATCTGATAGCAAGTTTATAATCTGCTTCGTTAGCTTACAGACTATCGAAGGATCTATTATACAATATATAATAGTTCTATTAAGATAATAAGATATAGTACATCATTTTACATTCTATGTCAATGTACTCGTATATTTGAGGATTCCAAGTATGGTGCTAAAATACTTAATAACAACAAAAAATTATAAACAAAGAAGTTATTTTGGTTAGAAATTTAAATCGTCTTAAATTTCGAGGTTATTTTGATTATTAGTAAGCTATGTTATTTTTCACTGACTCGCTTCGGAAAAGCCCGTTTTAAAAGCAGTTTTAATTGATAATTCCAGTTTTAACAAAGCCATTTACTTAAAACTAGTTCTATCTGGGGAAAACGCGTTCTATATAATAACAGATTATAACTGTACCATATATAAATTTGAAATCCTTTCTTATAGTTTCGGAAAATAATTGCGCAATATGGACTGAAAAATAAATTAGAGTTTTATAGTAAGTTGTCGTGTAGCCGGATGCGATTTAGAATATAAACTTTGTCTAGTCTAGAGTCTGGTAGGTATACTTTCGTCATTTCAGATTACTATATTCCAAGTGCAAGTGAATTTGGGATATGGTAATGTATGTGATTTTGTCTAATATTCCATATATCTTTAGCAATACCGTCTAACTATATTATTATTGATTGATTGTATTGATGTTGTTTGTAGACTGCACGGATCCTACGAGGCGCTGAAGTATGGTAGTCTGTTGGACGGTCTTGCGGACCTGACTGGCGGCATCACGGAATCTCTACCCATCACTGACGTCACCGACGCCTCCACCCTAGCAGCATTACTGAAGACCACCAGCGTAATCACCGCATATCATCTACCTACGGTGAGGCGATCAACTGTTTGCTAATTAACCTCTTGTAAATAAATCATATCCCTTTGTCCTACCTTATCCTGCGAGGCAAACAAAGACAATTGAACGCCACAAGGCACGGTCATACATATATATCGCAGTAGTCGACCGCACTCCATGTACAGAGTGGTGAGTGTAAGTTTTACGTTGAAGCCTCCACTAGTTTGTATGATTTGCAGTTCCTTATTGTTAGCACTAAGGGCGCTGTACCGGATTCCATACAACAATCTTATCGTTTTTTTTATCTTGAAATATTCTCTATGGTGAACGTGAACGTCATGAAAACTTACACTAAACATTCTGATCCCATCAACCATGTTACTGAGCCATTACACAAGTCTTTCTTTTCTGGCGTTCATTGCCCAGGTTTGAAATAGCCTACTATAGGCTCAAGCTATAAAAAGCCGACCTCGTGCGAGTCGGCCTCGCGCACGAAGTATTCTGTACCGAAAACGAGCAAAAAAAAACATTATATGGGAGCCCCCTTAAACTTTTATTTTATTCTAACTTTTAGTACTTGTTGTTGAAGCGGCATCAGAAATACATCATCTGTGAAAATTTGAACTGTCTTACTTTCATTGTTCATGAGGTACAACCTGGTGACAGACGGGCAGATAGAGAAGTCTTAGTTACAAAGTTCCCGTTTCACTCTTTGGTTACGGAACCTATATGTTATATTTTTTTTCTAAAATACATATTTCTTTCACCAGTAGTGGTTATCGATAGTAATTATGGAACGACGCTTCCACACTACTGTTACTTTTGTGCTAATAATATAATAAAAACCAGAATAACATTTTAAAACATTGTTTAGTTTATACTTTATATTTACTTTTACTTCACAACAACGTAAAATATAAAAACAGCGTAGCTGTTTGATGTTTGCATTGTCACACAACTTGTCCAGAAGTTAAGATATACCTATCAAGTGCGACTAATTCAGAGAGAAAAAGGACTTTTCCTTTCCATTAAACCAACTCTAAGTTTGTTTTCTCAAAATTAAACTCTAAAGTAATACGTTTTTGATATGCCTACCTAATTTTAATAATGGAATGTTGTTCACAAAAAAAAACTCCTTAAAAAATACCTGCCCAGTAAAAATCCAGACCCGAATTCGAATTCACTCATGTTCGACTTCACGACATTTAGTGTAGAAATTCTATCGATTCCATTTTTTGTATAAACAAATAAATAAATATCGGACATAACACACATTGATCCGATTCCGAGGTAAGTAGCTTAGGCACTTTTGTTACGGATATCAGAATTACGGGGGGAATACAAATATATACATAATATAAATAGAAAACACCCAGACACAGAACAGACAATTGTTTATCACAAAAATGTTTGTCCTGGGTGGGGATCGAACCCACGACTCTCGGCGCATTAGTAGGAACGCTACCACCGCGCCATTGTGCCTTTGAGCCCGTACAAAAATACAAAACAAAATTGATTATACCTGACTCAGATATTCTATTCCAATGTCATTTCGAAATTCACTTCACTTATGCCACGAAACTTTATTACCAATTCAAGGACGCTACTTTTTGAACTGAATTCGAATTCCAGTTCGCATTTTTATAGAATAGGTAACCGCGGTGTGATGCTTTTAAAGTTGGAAAAACATCTTTCTTCTAAATCAAAAAGGAAAAACTTTAAAAGAAATATTTTTATAATAATTATATGAAATTATATTGATAATCTCCTTCATCCTTTTTTCAGGTTATCGAAGAGAAAATCAAAGGACTCGAATTAGAAATGAATTATAGGATATACAATATTGAAAGGGTGAGTTTGTAAACTGTATTAAATTATTATTACCTAAAATAAGTGAGTTTTATAAAAGTCTGGTAAGTTTCTTGAGCTCATTCCTAAAGTTATTTGATTTAAAATATTTTTTATCATGAATATGCCTGTAATTTCATAAAGGTTCCACTATAATTTAATGAAAGAAATACTTATAAAATGAATAAAATGGATTTAATTAAGAAAGGGTATAAGAATGCGTAATTATAAAAATAATAAAACAAGCACGTTAACACTTTCTTTAAGTAAATGTTAATCATTTATAAGTGTACGTTATGTGCACGGTAATATAAAACACCTAATTTATATCTCATATTTGCTGCATTAAGAAAATGATGCACTAGATAGCTCTGTTTGCAAGGTCCGTCTGCGATGCGGAAGTTAAGCAACAAACATTGCGGTCCAGTGTGATATGGACAAGTGTTCAGGATAGCGAATCCAGCCAGGACCGACAGCTCGATGTGCGCCTGGACCAAGGAATGAGATGATAAATTATTGGTCACCCTATGACCCTATGACCCTTGCGAAAGTGGCTTCACCTAACTACTGCCTCATCGAGTAAAACTTCTGATATACTAATTGAAGGTATCAAATTTTTAACGTTGTTTTCAGGTAGAATCTTCGGACGGGCCAATACATTTGGTACGTTTGAGAAGACCCCTCGTGCCTGGTGAGACACCTGTTTCTCATCTTGTGGAAAGCTCTGTGTATGTTGACAAGTCAAATTATTCTAATTTAACCACCACTAGTGACATCTAACGGCGTAATGAAGAAATATGAAGTTGGTAATTTTGGAACAACCCTTAAGTTGAAAAGTTACGACACAATAGATGGCGCTAATGTTTTTGCTTTAAAAAAAATGGAGAAAACTTTTAAACTTTCGCGTTGCATTTATTGACGCGATGTATGAACGCGATAGATTTCGATATTTCGATAGTTAGGTTTTTAACCTACCTATATTTCCCGACGTTTCGCCGGTGTAACCCGGGGGCGTGACCTCCTAACACATGAACGTAAGTAGCTGTAGTCGTAGCTATAACCTACGCTTTATCGATATTTCTTATGAATCTGTTTATTTTCTTTTAAAATTAATGGATTTTTTTATTTTACATATTTTATCAAACATTTTGGTTTGTTTTTCTTTTCGAAATTGCATTGTTTGTATCAATTCGACAGTTTGTAAATTTCGTTTAACTTTAATAATTCAGCAAAAAAAAAAAAACTAAAAGCATTGATTAAATATGTAAATTATGAAAAATGATTAATTTTAAAACAATATCAACAGATTCATGTGTAAAACCTATAAATCGTAGGTTATAGCTGGTCGAAACGTCATAAAATTGAGAAAAGTTTTGAAGATTTTGTTTACTATTTAATTACAACTGAAAGAAGAAATGGAAAGACTGAATTAAATCAAAAATCTTCATTACTATCAACCGCCAATCTTTTAGGACGCAGTAGCCAAAACAAATAAGTGAACAAATACCAACCACCACCCATACCTTTAAAAGAAAAACAACATAATATAAAAAACAAGCAGAACTTGGTAAAAACAAGTACATACAAATACAGTTTTTATGTCCATCACATAATCAACACCGTGTTAGTAAAGTTATAGGCGTGCCTGCATCGCCCTAACGAAGTTTTTGTAATCCGCTACCATATTACGGCTGTCCCATTTCAAAACCTAGTAAGTCTACAAAAAGTAGAAATTGTGTTTTTTTGATAAAAGTGGTTTTCCAATAAGTCCCCACAAGATGCCAAAATACCCTATATCAAAATTCACTTCTATCAAAAGTTATAGGGTACCCTAAACCTAGTAAGTGCTTCTAAATTTATGAAAAGTTAAGTTTTAACCATTATAAAACCTAGTATGTATCTTTAACTATTTCAAAATTCTAGTATGTGTTAGCACATACTAGGTTTTTGAAATTGTCAAATCTAGTTACTGGGTTATGAAGTGAATAAATGTATAGAAACAATATTTTGTGGTTTTCGTAAGACATTAAAATATTGAGTTACTAAGTTTTGCTAAGTTTATAGTAGTAGTAAAGTAAAGATTTTCGCTGTAGTGTAGAAGTTTATCGACAAACAATTAAAAGACTTAATATTTCATTTAATATGCCAAAAGACAATAAGTGCGCGGATTGTTCATTTTTTGAAGTAGAAATTAAGAGAAATACACATAAAGGTACTGAAGTGCCAGAAGATATTTCGACTAAACAAAAAGAACATCAAGAAAAAGTTAAATTAGCAATGTTGAAGCCATTATGCGCTATTATCAGAGTTTCTTAAACCTCTATAACTTCAAATTACATTAATTATTGGGAGCTATATTAGCGGAAATTAAAAATTCATTCTAAAGAAGACGTAAATTTATTTTATTTATTCAATAAAACAGGACAAATATGCATATATAAATTATACTGAGAGAAATATAGAACCGAGTTATTATGAGCAATCTCTTAATTAACATTATGAGTTGATGTTCACAACTTATAGTCGGTAGTCGAAAGCTCAGTCAGTGTCGAAGAGTCCACGTAGATGAAATCACAAGTCGCCGTTTAATAACTTTAAATATAATGTTTTGCCCCCATTACAATATATTAGGTCCTTACATATGAAATTGGTGTTTAGTATGGCATCAACAAAAAGTCGAATATTTTTTAATATACTATATTTATTTAATCAAAGTATAAACCATTGTTATCTATGCACTTTTGTCATCTCATAGGTAGGTCATTGATCCCCTTACTGAAAAAACCATTCGGACGGGAATCAATAAAATCTTTGAAGGCGATTTGCACTGCCCCATAGGAGTTGATTTTTTTTCCTTGCAAGAAGTTATCCAAATTTCGAAAAAAATGGTAATCTTTGGAGCAAGGTCCGGGGCGTACGAGTGGATGTCTTAGACATTCCAATTGAAGCTCTTCTAATTTGGTAGCCGTCTGTTGTGCAACGTGTGGTCTAGCGTTATCGTGAAGTAGCAGTGGCGTAGAGCGATTGACCAGCCTCGGTTGTTTAACAGCTAGTTTTTCCAGCATGGTTTGCACTTGCTGACAATAGACGTCTGCCGTAATCGTCTGGCCAGATTTGAGAAAACTCTAATAAACGACACCGGCACTAGTCCACTTTCACAATACCCTTCAATTCTTCATTATAAACTTGGGTCTCCGGCCGTCCATGAGGCTCGAAATTTCCAGAACGAAAACGTTGGAACCAAAAACGTACTGTGTTTTCTTTTGCGATACAACCGCCATACACATCATTAACCCTTCGAGCCTTTTCCGCAGCACTGGTACCATGGTGGAACTCGTACTCGTAAATAACACGATATTTCAATTTTTCCATATTTAATACTGGGTGACGTAAATAGAACAAATAGAAGAAAAAAAAAACAAATGAATACCGCCTAATGAAACACAAATACATGTGTAAATGGCTGTATAAATTTGAATTTACTAGCTTTTGATCTGGATAAGCTGATTTTTAGCTAATATGTTAAACCAGATCAAAATCTAGTAAAAGAACTTACTAGGTTTGAAATGGTTTCTGGAAGTCAATTTTTACTTAGACGTTTTATTGTTAAAATTATTTTAGCTCATAAAATTTGTAGAATGAAACTTAGACAAATAATTTATATATCAAATTAACAGTTTCAAACTACTCCTTCTTGTAAATAATAATTTCTCAACAGGTGTTAAATAGTTTAAAAGAGCTACCCTAAAAAGAGTTTTTTTGCTCTCCTGTAAAACCAAAACAGTTACTAGGTTTTGAACTGGGACAGCCGATTATCTTAGAAAGAAGTTGTACAGATGGATCGGAGTGGTCCCCGGGCGGAGTACACCTAGCTCGGTGGAAGGGAATGCAACCTTCCAACAGTCAGTACGGTAGACGATGAGTCTGATTGTGTAGTGTACCTGTAAAATATGATTTATAGAAAAAAAAATCAATTTTAATCAATCAAATTATCGTTAAAACATCATAATAAAGATGTATCTCTAAATTCAGCCCACTAGAATTTTGTTACTAATTTAAAAAGTCTAAACTGATAAAACTAATATGAACGCGCTGAACAGTCAAGCGCCTAAATATAACTATCATTTTAGTTGATAACTGTACGAACTCCAGGTGGAAATCGATCCCGCTATACGAACGGGAGAGGCTGATGTCGACGCCGAAGGGCTTCTGGATGGTGTACTCCGACTTCCAACGATCGTTCAGCCGATTGGAGATGGTGCACCTGGACGCGGAGACGAGTCGCGCGGAGCCCTCGCTCACTGAGAAACACAAGTGGCAGATGAAGATGCACCAGGGCGGGTGGCGGCGAGGCGTCTCTGCTGGCGGATGCCGGAACTACGTCAGTGAGTTAATAAACAATCAAATACTACTCATTGAAATAAAAAATTGAGATATATACTATCAAATCTTTAAAGGTAGATAATTACAGAAATACTGTGTGAAATTTGATTAAAATCAATTCAGTAGTGTCGGAGTTCAACAATGACTAAAAAGATGAATAGCTGACAACCTCGTTTATTGAAGTATCTGAAACAATGAAGATACTACAATATTATATGAAGCTTTCTGATGATGTCACCGTAGTGATGACGTATATTGTCCGACGCAAATATTTAAATCTTAATCAGAGAGATTGCACTGACACAAAACAGAAAAACACTTAAAGAAAGTTTAATTTCATCGGTGATCGGTAATTCATCGAACGCATGACTGTTAAAAATGACACACTTTATTTCCAGACTTCTTTCACATGAATCCACAAATCCAATTGATCCTGAACGAATCAGACACCGTCGTCATATCTCTAAATCAACACAGCATAATGGAGCCCAAAGTTATCGGGTTCAGTATATACAAAATGCCCAAATTCCTCACAGAAACAGCATCGCCTGCATTCTTCAAAAAGATCAAGAGCGCCATCAACTCACAATACACAAACAGTCGCCAAGTTAGTCACAGGTAATAACCATTTTGTGCTTTTACTTTAAGCCAAGCGAATGTGGCAAACGCGTTAAGTTACGTTACGTTGCGAATTTTTATTAAATTTACTATTATATTATTTTAAACGTGATTGATTTATTAGCAATTCTGTTACACAATGAAGATGGTTTTAATCCTGTGACCTGCGTTTTTAAATGTTGTAGAAATCTAAGATAACAGAGTCAAACGTATATATTCGTATGGATAGCAATTAAACAGAATTGACACCATTTTCTGTGTTAGATGACGATGACCACCATCACCAGAACAGGTGGAATCAGATGTGTTCATGACAAAACTATCTATTGAGTTATTTACCATTGTCATCTACCTTTTATATTATCCACAGAATTTTGACATTTAGCAGCAAATGCATTATTTGTATACTTAATTTATAAGGCGAATGGTCTTATTTCGTTTATATTTCTACTCGGCTACGTTTCTAGGTGTCAATTGGAAACTGGCGCTTACTTAGTGATGCCTACGACGTTTGAGCCGAGAGAAGAAGCAAACTTTTCTTTAAGGGTTTTCTCAAACAAGCCTCTGAAGATGAAGGTTTTGGATTACGCCCCTCAAATGCTGAAGGCAGCTTTGATCAAGGCCCCTCCAGGAGTAGAGTCCAGTAGTTTCGCGCAGTACGAAGCTGTATTCCTCCAACTAGCTGATGAACACAGAACTATAGACGCGTTTGAACTTCAGGAATTGTTGGACGCATGTTTGCCAAACGATTACATCAAAAGCTGTGCATCCATAGACACGTGTAGGCAAATCGTACTCTCGATGGATGTATCCTTTTAAATAAAAATAAATATATTTAACTTATTCTATACACATGCACATATTCTCGATAAAAACTGTACAGCGTTTCGAATGTAAATCAGCCAGTTGCACAAACACCCATTACAATTTTCATTAGTTTAAAGCGACATTACCCATACAAATTTAATATTCATTAGAGTTTAGAGAATTCATAAAACCTTAATGGACGATTGTGCAACTGACCATATATGTAATGCTCAAAGATCGAAATCGCTCATTGGGCGAGAAAAAAGTTCACAATGCGTTGTGATCACAGGAAAAAAATATCCTCATAGCGTGTTATGGATCTTATGGAAACGCTCACGACGCGTCGTGGCTTTCACATAATAGCCACATAGCCAAATGTGGCTCTTATGCTATTCCCCAACAAAGCCACATAGCCAAATCTGAGTCGTGGCTCTTAAGCTATTCCCCACAATGCGTTGTGGTAATGACGAAACACCATGAAGCGTAAGCCCTAGCATTGGGGGCCTTAATAGGCTGTTAATGAATGAATGTAAATTAATATACACATCATTTTCCTTAGCACATAAAACAGAAAAACGGCACAGGTCGAATATCGTTATCAGACTTTAAAGACTTGATGTGCAGTCTGAAACACTGGCAGCTCGTTTTCAAGACTCATGCGAGAGAGAAGATGGGCGTATTAAGGGCGGAACGGCTCAGGGACGCACTGAGGGAAGTCGGCTTCGTTGTACCGGAGAGGGTACTCGCCTTACTAGTGCTCCGGTACATGAGGAAAGATGGCATGCTCAGGTTCGGCGATTTCGTCTCCGCCGTCATGCATCTTCATCGGGCATTTAGTGAGTTTTGAATTTAATAAAGTAAAATTTATTTGAAAGTGCGCATTCTTTTTATGATTTTGTACTGCTAGTATTAAAAATACATATTCACATAAAATAATATATTTACTAATGATCAATAATAATATTCTAAAAAATTAAAATAAGAATGAAATATGCTTGAAATCCTTTGCAAACTTTGTCAGATAAATTCATTAGAACCAAAAAAATCCACAAAAATATATTTTTGAATATTAAAATAAAAAAAAATAAAACACGAGTTATATTTTCAGCTTTAAAAAATCCATTGTCTATTGAAACATAATATATATGTATAACATTGTGCATATAATTTGTATTTCAGATGTGTTTTACACAAACGATTCACCGCGATCAGACACGATCAACTTAACTCTGTCAGAGGTAAATATTCATTATAATAGATACCGAGGGCCTATTTTATTTGTTCTCGAGCGAAATTTCGGAAAGTTTCAAATCGTTCATATAATTTTGTTAAAATAATATTCGTGAACATTATCTGTGCATCAGAGGCAGTGTCGGGTCCTATCTATATTTAGAGTCGTATTAGCATTTCGAAAATAGACGAAACTTCGTTTTTGGAGAAATACAACATGCCTTCAGTGTCATGTTAATTTACACGAGTAGTACCTACCTATATAACAGTTTTAAGTTTTTGTTTCAAATACATATCTTATTGAGATAAATATTTGCAATGCGTTGTATGTTTCATAAATTTCTGTTCAGCAGTACTATTATGTCATAAAATCAGCCTCGAACTCGACTCGACTCGAAGCACAGCGCTGTCACAGCAAAGAGGTTCAATCGAATAAAACCTACTTCAAAGATTAATAAAGTTTCAATTTCCAATTCGGAGCTAATTTTATTACAGAATGACATGTCTGGTAACACGTTTATCAAATTTATATAATTAAAATTACAAGTTATTACATTTCAGTGGTTGAAATGCGCTTTGATGTGTTAACACCATTATATGAAGACAAACAAGAAATCTGGATAATTCAACTAAGGAAAAGAAAAAATATCGGTTGAATAAACAACGATTGAACGATTGAATGAAATAATACTTAGATCTGACTTAGAAATCAATTGGAGAAGATTGACAGCTTTGAATAAACTGACGAGTGCTCAAGAGAGTGCATCACTACATAGTATAAAAAAAAGACGCTTTATCTGTCCCTATATCTATCCCTATGTATGCATAAATCTTTAAAACTACGCAACTGATTTTGATGCGGTTTTCATAGATAGGGTGACGCAAAAGGAAGGTTTTTATGTATAACACAAGACCACGCGAGCGAAGCCGCTGGCGGAAAGCTAGTAAATAAATATTAAGAGAGAACGAGACACAAGATGCAGCGAATTAAATAACGTCACAGCTTAGCTATAAAGTGACTAGCATATTTATTTATTTGCACTTTATACGAAAATATTATAATTACGAAAAGTAATTGTCCATATATTTAATCGTTGAGGTAAATGTGTAATTTTTTCTTATTAAGGAAATTTTATAAAATCATATTTGTTGCTACGTTTCAAGAAAGATAATTCTGTTTCATAATGCTTTTTAATTTAAATTACAGTTTATTTACTAGGAATTTAGTACTTCTTTTCAAAATTTATTTTTCGGTTGGTCATTGACTTTGACGTTACGAAAATCGCATGCACTGTCGACTAGTGAACAGTAAGTCTATACGCTCTCTCAAATTTTTGGCTAAACAGATATAAGATAGAAGACTTTTACCTATATAATATCATACAGTATAACGTCGTAAAATTAAATATGTGGAATAGCAGATTCCATATATCCCTACCGGTAGCTATAATTGTAAAAACAATCCTAGTATCCCTACCAGTAGGTATTTGTCAGTAGGGATATGTGGAATAGGGGAATATCTGTTGCATAAAAAATAATTTAAAATTTTGTTCAGTTCACATAACACTGTGTTATATAAAATACATTTTAAATTCAAATAATGTGACTAATGTTTCTCAAATAGGACGGTAATGTTTTTGTAAAAATAAAATTAATATAATTTTACCCACATTTAATTTATGTTTACTTTAATCACTGACTCCAAAAGATAGCATGAGCTCTCATAACACAGGCCCGGATCTAGAGGGGAGTAAATGGGGTTACCTGCTCTGGACACCAGTAACGGGGGCGCGCCAATATAAGATAAAAGTTTAAAAAAGCTTGAAAATTTCATACACCTTATAGCTACGATGAGACTGACATGAGAATATAAGAAAAAATCATACACTACAAAATGTGTAAATAAAAACATGGCCTCCCGGAGGGGAAGGGTAGAATAGTGCAATACGAAATCTTTGCCCCTGTTAGAAAAAATCGTAGATCCGGGCCTGTCATTACAGACAATGAAAATGCTAAAATATTATATCCTTCAGGTAAAATATCGCTCGCCATACAATCCAATGGCCCGACGCAAAATATAATATTTTCAAATTAAGATGCCAAGCGGATTAGGTATTTCGTAAGTTAAATTGTAGCTTAAGATGTGAAAATATATAAAAATTGATCCAAAATATCTTATCTTAACCGTGTATGATAGCTTAAATTATATATTATTAAATATGTTGTCTTAAGATATCTTAAGATAAAATATTATAACATCTTCATCGTCTGTTAGCAGCTTTATTCAATAGCAGTGGTTAAATTGGGACGATGGTATACAGAAAGTAAGCAGTATTTCATACATCGCATTGAAGAACGCACGATTAATACTTTGATCTATAGAATAATGTTTTACTTATATGCTGGTGCTAAATAGCTTATAATTTATATATGAAGTAAATCATGTGTTATCATGTACTTAAAAAAAAACACTTAAAAAATAATACTCAATGCATTTAACTTATTAGATATAAAATCGCAATTATTGTACAGTCAACGTCATAATCGTCGAAATAAGATGTCAAATATATAAATTTAATTACTTATATCTAGCAACTAGTTGCATTTGATGTTATTTTAATATACCACTTAAATTGAAATAAATATTCTTAACACTCGTTCTTAAATTTTGTCTTGTAATACTGGATTCGACTCTATATACCTATATTCTAATGGAGCCAAATTGATTTGAAACAAGTTGTTAGTTTGTTTTTGTGTACTTTGATCAATATGCAACTTTGATCGAAGCACGCTAACTGATCAAAATACCCTGACAATCTTACTTGACATATTTTCCAACACCTCGGGCACTTCGGTGATTATGACGCTCTCTGAACCAATATAGAAGTACTAGACACAATGTCAGATCTTAGAAATTTTGTTTGTAAGTGTTTGTAAGTCTTGCACGGTAAATATTATAATATAGTGCAACGATCTCTCTTGAAGAAACGAATGTAATAATAGTCAATAATTCTTTGTAAATAGGCTATCCTTAAAATCCACCGAGCTGGCTCTGTATCCTGTTTCTTTGTTATTGTTTTTCCTTGTACTTACTACTTAATGGCATAATTTTACAATGTGACTGACTATTTAAAGCACACATATTAATGCTACTAGATATAATTTCTATTATTCGCTTCACATTTTAGTTAATAATTGTGTAGATAGTATTATTAAAATAAAAAAAAATCAAACAACAAAATTTTGTGTTTTTCTCTATGGGTTTGTTTTTTATGTTTTTATTAAAAACATAATTATTACGTAACAAAATTAAATAAAACAAAAAAGTGTGCAACGTCAGATCATACATAACATGATTTGACTTATCAATATCATGCCTTTGACCTGTATTATCTATTCCTCCGACTGCATGACATGTACTTATGTATATATATACTTTTTTATCTTGTTCCAACTTTTTCAGTTAGGATTGTAAACCATTATCCTATTTTGAACGAAGGGTCACGACCATGTCAATTATATTATTAACTAGCTGACCCGACAGACTTCGTCCTGTCAAAAAGATTTGTAATGTGGCAGTTTTTTTGCCTACGTATTTAAAAAAATTCTCCTGAACAGAACCGTCACCCTGGTGATAGGGCGTTGTGAATAAAAAATAATTAAATAAAACATATATAAGGATTTAAAAGTAAGTAATCGCTTTATTGTTAATCATGTGAATCATAATTATTATTGCAATGTATTAATAGTAATAGTATTAAATATAGAAAAAAGAGATTTTTATGATCATAAAAACACATTACACACAACAGCATTATAAAAGTAAACTATTCGAATTAAAAAAATATATAAACATTCTCAAGGAAAAATGCTGGAAGAATCCATCTACCTGTACCCCGGAATGGGACTCGAACCCATTCGCGATCCAGGGACTGCTCTAACCAATGAGCTATCTAGAACCCAACAGCTTTGCTACTACAGAGCGTATTTTCATCAATGTCCCGGCAATACATGTAATGACGTGGAAACTGATGCATTTTATCTCGCGTGCCGAAACTAATACAAAAGAAACGCGAGTTTCGGAACGCGACATTAAACTCCTCCAACTATGTATTCTGTGCTCCAACGCACACACGCACATTGTTTTGATAGATATGATCTTTGACGTTAGGAACACACCTACATTGCTTAGACAACAGTGAGTGCTTGTAATTTAATATGAACTTTATACCATAGCAATAAAGCTCAAATTGACTACGTTTTAGTTACAAATCATTTGTATGGGAAAAAGAAAAGGGCTATTTTTAGGGTTTTTCCAGCAATAATTCTAATTTTTCTCGCCGTAAAAACCATCCTTGAACTTCAACGAACATTTTAAAAAAAGATTTGGCCAAATTGGTCGAGGCGTTGTTGAGTTATGCGCTTACCAACACATTTTGCGATTCATTTTTATATATATAGATTAGTCATCTTCATTAATAAACTGGGTATACACAACTGGCAAAATAAAAATAATAATCAAAGATTAATATGAAGCAATAAGTGTTTTACAATTGTTTTAGGCGTAATGTTATTTTCAACACTGTTATTTTACATTATCCGAAACTCAGTAACCATATGATACCTAATATAATAAGGTATATTTAATATTAGAAATAATAACCAAAAAAATATATATTTACAGATATATTTCACAATATCATTGTGGATGACAATTTCGTCGGTACCATAAAATATAACTAGAGTTAATAACAAATTTCATTAACAAATACTGGAGTTTCTATACAAGTATTTCCAGTACGCGTAGCATGACGAACTCGAAAAGGTTTCGTCTACACTTAAATGTCACTTTTCCCGGGTGCGCCCATACGATATCTCACTCTCGACTTGAGAAAGTGACGTTTGGGTGTAGACAAACCGTTTCTCGAGTTTGTCTTGCCGTGCATGCAGTACATTAAATAAGTTCCAAACAAAATTAATTTATTATAACTTTATCTTCATATTCATAGTGACATAATCCGACAAGAGAATCATCACTAGTAATATGGTATTCTAATCACACCATATAATCCTTGCTGAATCTATACTAATATTATAAAGCTGAAGAGTTTGTTTGATTGTTTGAACACGCTAATCTCAGGAACTACTGGTTTGAATTTATAAATTCTTTTTGTGTTGAATAGACCATTTATCATAACAACTGACTAAATTTAAATAATCCAAAGGATATAGTTAAATAGTAAGTTCTATGTTAATAAACGGTCTAGCAACACACTGCACTAAGCACGTCCGTCCCGTCCCGAGCGCTCGAAACGAAGAGACGAGGCGCGCCCGCACTGCCTCGGGAATGGCGCGGCCTCACCCCTTCCACTGTAGATCATACAACCGACGACGACGCTGACGTCACTATGACGTATGAGGCTACATTTCTAAGAGTATTTATATGAATACTGAAATATTTTACACTACATGGAAAATGGTTATTGTTGATAATATCTATATGAAAATAACATTTTAATATTATTTAATAAATACATTTGTCACTATCTATAAACAGATAAAATCTTACATTACATATTGTAAGACAGCTTATACACACACATTTTTGTCCCCATAACCTAGAATAAATAGTAATGCTTCCCAGGCACATTTGTGAATATCTAAGCTTGTATATAATTGTGGTGGTATTACAAATTCGCTGCATCTACGCATGGGATAATTTACATTGGTGATGTATGTTGGCAGTTTATGGGGCTTGTAGACAACATTGGATATTTTCAAATATTGTAATAAAATCATGCCATGTGCAGTGCTGTATTGGTACTTGTACTTACTAACAAAACAAACTAAAGAACATACATAATTAGAAATCCAAGGTTATCTGCTGTATTGTACATATTTTTATTCTAGATTTTAATTTAACAATAATTTTAAATTTATATTTATTTTTCATAAAAAAGATATTATTGTACAAAATAAAAAATAACATGATTTTGCTTTATTGATTTCGGATTGAACTTAAATAGCCACATCAATCATCATTATCATAAAGTGCACTTCAAACTTTGTTTTTAGCAGAATACATTTTAGAATACAAAGTTATTATTTCTATTTACAATTCAAAACATGGGTATTTTTATTTACATAATTGGCAACTACTTATCTTTAGTGTTGTGTTCTTGCATCTCTATGTTTTCAGTGTTAGTCTGAGTGGCTGCTTTGTGGAGCTCATAGAGTTGGACAATCTGTTCATCAGTCATGTGATCTAGCAGTTGTGGGTCTATGTACTTGCCAACAGTTTTTCGTTTAACCTGCTGTAGTGGCTTCATTTGTTTAGCTAAACTAATTGCATAGTCCTGAAAACAAATAATATTGATATTGATGAAACCAGCATTAAGATCCATTGCATAGTTTAGAAAACTTCAGTGGCATAATACTATGTTTAGATGATTAACTAACTGTACTCAATTTATATACATACTTACTGTCCATTCGTTTAAGAAAATTCGAGACTCCTCAAGATTGCAGTTTTTATGCCGCTTAAACTCATCTCTTGCATAATTATCTCCCATGATACGAAGCTCAGTGGGCAAAGCTCGGTGCACTCTGAAGATCAGTTTATATAGTTGTCGCACTCTGGAGACATGCTCGGGACCAAACATCCTGCAAAATTTACATAAAATGACCTTAAATTAATGTTTGATTTAAGGAATCATGAGAATAATAAATACGATTGCTTTTTTATCACAAACTTGTGCAGTAAAAAAAAATCTTTTAATTATCTTAGTGTTGTAGAGGGTATTAATTTATAGTTATGAAACTAACCTAAAAGAAAAACAGTAACATACCTTAAAACAGGTTATTTGGGATACTGTAAGCGAATTAGTCATTGGGAGAAGAAAATTGTATTGATTTAAATTTTATATTCCATTTTTATAAAGATATCTTCAATGTAGAATTATAGTCATAGAAAATCTTCTTCTTCTTCTTTTTTAATTCATGATCATAGATTAAAATGGACAAAACCCTATTTGTTTTCGTTAATTTGACAGTTGACACTTACATGTTTTTTTACTTTCATTTAAGACCGCAAGACAAAGATCATGCCACATACAGCCTATTCTGATATTATTTTTATCTTTCCGAGTCATTTGTTATTTTGTTTTATACCATATGTAGATAGATAAAGCACTACTTACTATATTTTCTTAGCTACCAAATCACCGAGAAAGTTATTAAGAGCTAATATAGGTAGGTGATTTTTAATTTCAAATAAAATTTAATAATATTGTCCATGATAAAGATCCGTAAAGTTTCAGTATAACTTTTCAAACATTTTACAAATCATATTTCGATGGTGAAGTATTAAAAAAAAAAGTTTTTTTTACGGAATAAGGGGCAGACGAGCAGACGGATCACCTGATGATAAGTGATTAACGCCGCCCATGGACACCTGCAACACCAGAGGAGCTAATCAAACTAGATGTCGCTTTGGTCTTTTTTGATTTCTACATAACAACCTTCTTGGTTTTTCTTTATGTAATAGTAAATTAATTTTTAAAAACTCAATAAACAACTCATGTTATATTTGTACTTTTTCGTATTTGTATATTAAATTTATACTTTTTCGTATTTGTATTGATATCTAAGTTTTAAACGTTGCAAACTTCAGTTTTTTTAATATGTAAGTTAAAAGGAACGGTAATGACTATCTGTGGTCCATTCGTTTCCTGCAAACATCAACTTTTGGTGGGGTCGCCATAGTGAAGTACCTTTTTTAGTGCATTCCTTTTTTCCATACTTCCTCATTACCATTACATAATTAATAAAACCAAACATGACGCTCGATTAACAAAAAATGCTTATGAAATCTGATACATATGTATTGCTTAAAATTTATAAGCGAGATTTCAATCGATTTGAAACCATTAAATTGAGGTTTTAAAAAAATTTAAAAAAATTTATTGATTTATCATCCGAGATTTTACATCTAATGGTCAGTTGCACTGAAAATTAATGAGGGTATAATGACGCTATTAAATTCTAATGATTGTCAAATTTGTATGGGTAATGTCGCTTTAAACTATTTGACATGAAATAACTTCTGTATAAACAGTTACCCACTGAGTATAGGTATTGGGGTGTGAAGAAAAATAAAGCCAAAAGGATTTCGTTCTGAATTTTATTAATGCAAGTATATACATTCTTTAGTTCCATCGTCCACATACCATAAAATAATTATGGTGTGATCAACACATAAAACATATGTGAGAACTACAATTTATCGCCAATAATGTTTTCATAGTAAAATATCATGTTTGTCTCATAAAATATACATATTTCATGAAAGACATACTTTTGTGCCTCATACGATGAGTATATTGGAATAATCACCTTTAAAATAATTACATATAATCATTGATGTTATTTTCCTTGTTTTCGTCCATTTAAACTATTATCTAATCCAATGTTATATAAACACACACCAAAGCACACCAGATTAATACAAAAGTCCTATATCTGTAATTCATTTTAAACATTTATGGATAGTATTAGAATGTCAGAACTGAAAAATAATCGGTATGACCTACGATCAACAATATAACATTCGACCTCTCACAATAATTCGAACAATATAACATTTGTCGGATGATCCGTCGCGCAATTATTAAGACGACGGATAACACGGCCTACATACAAAAATTGAAAAGGAGAGTTAGTAATGAAAAAAAAAACACTTCCACAAAGACAATGTAAATTTATGTTACAGTGAAATAATTAATAAACATTTTTTTTCTTATATACTGCGCATAGATGAGAAAAACATACATTAATTATGATGATTATTAGGTACACAATGACACCACAAGAGGTTTTTCTGAAATCACTCGATATCGATTGTACTTTTTAGTTTGGTTTGCCGATTACGTAACGCTAATCAACAATGACGTAATTGATGATCCACAATTTGCTATTTATTAAAGAGAGTAAAGGACAAAATATAAGAAGTCTATAGATGGGAGGCAAACAGAAGATCGCAGAACGAAGAAGATAGTGTAGAATAAAAAGGGAGAACACACTGAGTCACCTCTAAATAAATTGGGACCTTACACTCTAGTCATAGGAAACGATATCTTAGCAATGTTATGGCGATATTTTGTTTTTAATTACTATTTTGTCATGATCTTTATTATGAACGACCGAATGACAAAGTATGATGATTATGGATTATAGCAGGGTGGCCAATTTAAGTAATTTAATCGAAATTTATCTACCAAAAGATATGTGAAAGTAGTAAAATGAACAAATGTCATAACATCGCTATGATATCGTATGGTGTGGCTAGAGTTGGGCGGTCGCACTACCGAGCAGGGAAATAATGACGATTTATTAGATTTTCATTGTTACAATCTATATATTCCCATTTTGGGATTACTTCATTACAAAATAGGAATTTACAAGCCATATTGCAATCATTATATTTAATCATTAATAAACAAATTACTAAACATGGCTAATCTTCAACCATAAATAAAAAGTGTATTCAAAAGAAAATAATCGTAACTAGTTCCATCCATATGATAAAATTCTATCATTCTTTCTCTTTTTGTCTCCTCTTTTCAAAAGAGCGAGAAACACTCTCATCTAATCATAGATGTGTCATAACACGTTACGATTACCCAGTGGTGAATTTAAAAGAGTTTCGTTCTTATTAAATAGCATAACAGTTCAATATTGCTCTTTGATATCATGCATTTCGGAGCTAATAACAGACGGAATGTTTTGGTTATAAGGCAATATAAACTTCAACTCATTATCAATTTTATCAAAATGTAAATTATCTATAATTTACAAACATTTATTTTTAAGATATAATTGCTTTATAGTATCGCTACGCCACAATCGAACTTATTGCATTCATTGGTCAGTGTAATATTGCACTGACTTTATCAACTATAGCTACAAAAATAGTTTTAAACATTTTTTTTTTTTAAATAGATCAACAATTTTGTAAAGAAAAATCACAATTCAAAATAATGATCGTACAACTTGACACTAAGAGACAAACAACATTTTACTACTAGCAAAAAAGTATTGCCTAAATCAAATTCTTGTACCAAAATAATTATATAAAAAACATATTAGTATGTACAACATGCAACAAGTAAAAAACTTCTAGGTGGGAACCTCTGTATATATCACTATGGTCACAAGTAATGGGAAAAATATATACTTACTATAAAGTTCAATGTAACATATCAATCATGGTTTGATCAGTATGCTAGAAAAAATCCAGATATAATTAAACTTCACAGTTTTATTCTTGGCAGACTTCAAAAAAGGAGAAGCTTTCCCAATTCAACAGTATATATGTTTTTTTTTTTTGTTTGTTCGCGGATAACTACGTATATTTATATATAAGACAGCTTATGGATTTCATCGCAATCGAATTAGAGTTTTGTTTATATGATGACAAAACAAAATATGCTTTACACCACCGAAATATTTAGACCACGTGTTTACATCAGCGACAAAACAAAAGATAGATTATTTTGCATTCATTCAACCTCCGTATGAAGGAATTTCAATTTTTTTTAACAAAGAAATTCAATATCATTGAAAAATCATGTGTTTTTTGTCAAAAAACACAATGACTTCAGACTTAAAGTGAAACCGCCCGACTTTAGTAACAGTTTCTTGAATAAGAAATTCGCTTTTAAGAGAACTATTTTTTTATGATTGTCGGCAGACGGCGTTAGTGTTCTATAGATCATTTCACTTTTTACTCGCTGCAACAGAAAGAGGGTGATGTTTTTGTTAACAATGCAAATATTAAAGCATGTTTCCTAATTACGAATTTTACGTCTAATATGCATATTTATTTACTGATTGCAATTTCTGATGTAAATCAATACATATTGGTATAAGTTTCTGAATACCCACCACACATTTGACACAGTTTGTCAGGTTATACAAAACTGTTATACAAAAAGTACATAATAACAATAATGGGTTCGATAAAAAAAATCGCAAAGCTGACTCATAATAGGTGTATTGGACCGATTTCCGACTAACAAATAACATCTAATATATTTCATAAAAAAATAGGGCATTTGATAATTTTAAATTTTGAAAAAATCTAAAATTATCAAAACAAAATTTATTTTCTAAATGCATTGTTTTTTTCTTTCATTAATCCGCTTACGTTCATTTAACGTACAATAGGACCTTCATATAAAAAGTATATGTATGGTGGTATCCTGGCGCCCTACATACAGATGCAATATTAAAATCCTCATTCACAAAAACTACATCAAATTAAGATACTTCCCTCGTGTACAGACAATCAAATAACGTGATGGTGAACCATAAAACTTTAAATGTTTTTCAAATAACTAAAACTATCCTTTCATTATCATTTTGGAGAAACATTAATATATCATAAACATATCCCTGCAAACTGCTAAATTTCGATAGTGCGTTTGTCTGTAACTGTACATACTATCATGCAGCTAATCATAAAAGAATTTACATAAATCTATTTATATACAAAACTATTCTTTTTGAAAAAATAAATACTACTTTTGTAAGTGACTGTACATACAAAGGTTCCCGTCTCATATTGATTTAGTTACATTTACATGTTTAGATTTTCTCTTGTATGAACGGATGTGCCAAGCAATGGTTCACTGAGGCTCTTTTGGCCGGATCCAACATCAGCATTCGTTCCAAAAGGTCCTTCAGTTGACCAATTTTCTTGGCCTCAGGAGGAGGCAAGCGATGATGAGGCGGTGCAAGCTCCATTTGAAGATCTCGTGTAGGCTTAATACTTGACATGATTACTACCTTTTCCTGAAATGTAAAACTCACTTATATATCAAGAATAAATCAATTTATTGAGAACAATATTTTGTCTTGTGGTTCATAAATATATGTTGAGAAGCACAGGCATTCACTATGGATATGGAAGGAATCGGGTAAGGAAAACAGGCCTCATCCCCCCAGGAACAAGTGGGAATTGGGCAACAAGCAACTTATCACCTCTCAACAGCAATACCATCTACTTACCCTTTCAGTGATTTTATCCAATTCGTGGTACATAAAATTGCAATTGGCATCAAAATGTTGTTCTTTGAATATTCCCTTCTTTATAACCTTATTTGGTATCTTTCCCTTCAAGTCCATAAAGTATTTCAGCATTTCATTATTGGATTTGCCACTGAACATGATCCTGCCTGTGGACAGCTCGTAGATGGTACAAGCTGTGGACCACATATCTATCCCGTGATCGTAAGGCACACCCATTATTATCTCTGGAGCTCTGTAAAACCTGGACACTAGATATGGCGTGATCTCATTGTCAGTAACATGAGAAGCTGAACCAAAGTCACATAGTTTCAGCATGAGCTTGCTGTCGTTGACCAATATATTATCAGGTTTGATATCTGTAGACAAAATAGAGATATTCTGTTTAGGCACTCTCTATATGTTGATTTCGTTATTAGAATTTAAGTTTATTTTAAGACACTCAGACTCAACATTATTTAATCAAGCTTGAATTACTTAGTCAATAAATAATAATTTGCAAGTATTAATTACATTACAGTATAACTTATAATAAATTTCAACTAACCAGCATGTAAAATACCAGTTTTCTTCAGCAGCTTCAGGGCCAAAAGCATCTGTTGTGTATAACTCCTGACAGCTTTTATATGTATGCCACTGTTCTTTCCGTACTTCTTGAGGACCTCGCGCAGATTCATAGAGAGAGGCTCGAGCACCATACAGAGATGGCGTTTGTGGAAGAAATGCCTGAACAGGCGGAGACAATGGAATTTGTCTTCTGGGTCGGCGTCATTCAGTCTTTTTAGGATCTCCAATTCTCGAAGACCAGTTTTGTGCCTGCAGGTAAAAAGATTTATAAATATAATTAGATGCCTTTAGAGTACTTTTACTAGAAACTAAGATTATATTATAAATATAACGTATTTACAACCTCATAGTGATCATACCTCCATATTCGGTGATGTACATTTATAAGCAAATTATTGTATCACTTAGCCAGCTGATTTTTTTTTAAATCGCATTAAAAGTAGAATAGAATTTACAACCAACAACTTTAAAATCATTCATTAATGCTTTAGTTTTATTTTACGTAGATATAAAACAAAATTGATATAGATTTAAATACATTAAATATTTTAGATGCTATATATGTTACAAATTTAGTCATCATCATCATCACCAGCCCTTTTACGTCCCCACTGCAGGGGCTCAGACCTTCCTTATGGATGGTTAAAGAGGATGGGCCATGACCCTCCACGCTGGCCCAATGCGGATTGCAAATGCAGCCGGGACCAACGGCTTAACGTGCCTTCCGAAGCACGGAGTAGCTCGAGATAATAATTTTTTGGTCACCCATCCCGTGATCGACCCTTGCGAAAGTTGCTTAACCATTGTGATCGCGGGCCGCGGCGCTTATCCACTACGCCACCGAGCTACTTACAACCAATAACTTCAAAATTAAGTATAAAAATTACCAAATTAGTATAATGAGACTAATATAAGGTCTAATAAATATGTGTTCTATATATAGTATATCTATCAATATCTTCACTTCATCAATTAATTTTAGACATAAACGCAGAAAAATGTTAAAAAAACATTTTTCTGCGTTTATGTCTGCGTTTAAAGTTTATAACAGACTAACAGACTGGTGACCAAATCAATTTATTTAACACGACAGTTACCCAGTGACTCTACTAGTTCATCACTGGTACAAAATATGGTTCTATAACATTAAGTCTGCAATTTTTCTTTTATTATTAAACAATAAAGTGTAAACAAAATAATAAAAACTCACATTATTTCGTTGTTACGGATAATCTTGACGGCCACGTCAGTGTTACTCCGCGCCTGATCGCGCGCACGTATCACGTTCGAGAACACGCCTTGTCCCGTGTACCCGTATACGTTGTATCTGTTATCCAACGTTTCACCAATACGCACCCTGTTCAACGTTAATAAAGGTTAAAATCCATCAAACAAACTCCTGTGATATAAAAAATTGAAACTGGCGAACCGCTCCGGTTTCTGCAGACTGCTAACGATTTGAAATGTTCATTTATATCCCAATAAATCTTGAAATTTTTTCTTCTGTCGATTTGAAAACAATGAAAAAAAAGCTTTGAAAACCTATTGATAGTGCTTTCAATCTCACCTGTAGTAACCTTCTGCATCATCCCAATTATCGGTGAGCGATGGATTCTCCAAAGCGCTTTTGCTGTTTGGTTTGCCGGCGGTCGGAGTCTACGATAAAATAATCATGATTTATATTAAGTTGTTCCTAGCACAGTCGAAAAAACGGACAATGATAGAAAGTATTATATGAGCCTTAAAAGAAAACGATACATATCGCTAACTATAGAACTCTGTACAGTGATATAGCGTGCCTTAGAGGCGCCCTATATCAAAATTTGTCGCGAGGCCCCTGACTCCGTATCAGGTATACACAGACCTATAAACCACGATACGTATCGTTTTCTTTCGACGCTCAAATAAATGTGTCGTTGTTCGATTTTTTACCTGTCGTAAGACTATAATATCACAACCTTATTTAAAAGCATTGAAGTGGTGCTAAGACGGCGAATAAAGACAAAGAGACAACGAGACGAAATTCAGTCGAGTCCATGGCGTATTTCATGAAAGCGAATGCAATAACTTCTTTTATTAAAATGATTAGGATTATACAGTATTGGCCCATATCTGTTATTTATGTGTTTTAAAAAGTATCTCGAAAAGTAATGCTAATAAAAATGCTATAGATTGCAACAACAAATTTTAGCAAGCGCGATTTAATATAGTTTGTTGGTACATTAACACTCACGTCCACGCTGAAGTTGTCTTGATCTGCGAACATATCCCACTCACTGCCTTTGTTCGACTTCTCCAACTTTATGCTGGTCTTTGCTTCGTTCTCTTTCTCTATATTTCTGATCATCTGACTGTCACTTTTTGATGGCGATTTTGGTGGCTTTTCATGGGAGTCGTCTCGGTACACCTCAACGTCAGGCGTGTGGCAGTCTTTACTCGACTTCTGCTCAGGTTTGGAGGACGAAGACGTATTATTTTGTTGACTTTCATTATTGACATCGCTAGTTGTAGTGGCGCCGCCGAGCCTCTGTAAAATAACTTTTAAAATTAGACCTCATTTATAAGACATTTGATGAAATTAATTAGAAAAAGTTATCATTTATCCATCTATATTTAAACGCCAAATTCCTTACAATATAGGTGCTCCACATGGGTCAGTCCCAACACAAGCCTTTATTATGAATAATTCTTATAAGATATTATTAAAGCGAAATTTTATATTACCTTAACCAACTGTTCCCTCTGCTTTCGGCGACGTTCGATGATCTGTTCTTCCGTTTCTTCTTCATCATCAGTGTTGACAGAAATATTTAGCTCTTCATCACTCGAACTCGGTACTATGTGAGCGACTTCATTGGATGAATTCTGTAAAAAAATTATTCATATAAAGATATGTTATTACTCTTAATTAAATAGTTTTTTATGCAGCACAGTAGAATATACTGGTGTATCCTGCAATTTCAAAGCAACATCAAATACCTTCCGCTTATCCCTGTCACCATATGTGGACCTATCTCGGGAACGATCCCGGTGTTGGTCACGACTGCGTTCGCGGGAGCGGCGATCGCGGTCCGATTGCCGTCGGTCACGCCGTGCTGTAGGCGAACGTTCCCGTGATCGACGATATCTCGTCAACTCCCGCTCCCTTCGTTTCAACTCCGCGGATCGTCGGTCGCGCTCCTTTTCCCTCTCTCGTTCCCTCTCCCGTTCCCTTTCTCGCTCCCTCTCTCGTTCTCGTTCTCTTTCCCTCTTCCTTTCGCGCTCGCGTTCCCGTTCTCGCTCCGCCTCCTGGAGTTTGCGTCGTTCTCTCTCTTTTCTCTCTCTATACTCCCTCTCTTCTAATCTCTTCTCCATTTCTTTTCTATTCTCCCTATTTATAATCTCTCTGAGATCTTCCTCATGGCGCTTAGTCTTATATTTATCCCTTTCTACCGATGTTTCTGTGCTCAATTTGTGTTTACTGCTGCGCTTATGTTCATGTTCTCTATCTTTCCTTGTTTTCTTATAAATCGGGGATTTATCGTCATTGATGCAAATCACTTCACTCTTACTATTTTCACCTTGATCACTTTCATCGTCACTCTTGTCAGAAAAATATGCAACCAATCTCGCCTGAAGTAACTCTTTCTGCTTCATAAGCTCTTCAAGATTTAAATCATCTTCTATCATATTCAATTCAGGACTAGCACAGTCTTCCTGATAATTTTCTGTTTCTGAATTAGACGAGATAATCTCTAAAGCCTCATCCTTATAGTCAGATTTTTTCCTTACATAATTATTCTTAATACTACTTCGGGGTTTGCCATTTGACGCATCGCCGTTCTTAGTCTTCTGATATGCTGATTCCATAGAATCTGTGAGAGGCGAGTTTGTGGAGATAGATTTGAGAACAGGTTTACATTGCCTAGATTTTTTGATTAACTCTTCAACATCTGAAAGTGAAGTCTCACTTTCAGGTTTGGGACTCTTATATTTTTCTTTCTTAGACTTCTTTCTCTTCTTATAACCTTTCTCATCATCGTCTTCTGTTTCCCTCTTACGTTTCTTGTGTTTTTTGTTCTTTTTCTTTTTCTTGTGCTCTTCATCGATACTCTCACCTGCTGTTGACTTTTCAGAATCGGGTTTAGTTCTGTAACAAAACAAAACACATTGATTATACTTACGAGGTCACGTTGAGGTTCTTGGGCGTCTTCGTGTTTTTTCTTGACAACATAATGAACAATTCTGTAATAGTGGGCGTAAATGAGACTTAGGCCTTTATATAGAATGTCCGCACGAGTAACAAAAGTGAGCACTTCTATGCTATCAAATTATGCTGTAAATATGAATAATTCTTAGAATTAAAATATTAACCTTATTTTATTCCGTCTGCCTTCCACATCGATATAAATAGTTATATTGAAGTCATTGTTCATTGTATGTTGTCAAGATATTCTTAACATCTCTTTAATTGTAAAATAAATTGTAAATTATGAGTAAAAAAATATGTTATTTATTGGTTTTGACAATGTCATAATTGTTCTTTTTTATTCTATGTATATTTCTTTTATTTAAACAATGGCTGAAAATAAGCGATCGAGCACTCCTTTGTTCCTAGAGATATCCGATACTTTATTAATGTTGTATCAATAAAAAAGCACACTTGCTATATTAGATCGTGTCATAGTAGATAGTTGTATATTTTGAAATCCATGAAGATCATCCATCTGAATGGTACCGATTTACGTTAATACCCACCACGCCACACTGGGCTCGTGTGGTAGGTTCTGGCCAGTTCTATTCAATCCAATTCGACTCTATCCGTAGATAAAGCCCGTGCCCGTGCGTGAAACCAAAGGTGAAATAAACAATCCTATGAATAAAATAAATAATTGCAATACAATATACTAACCAGTACTATAATATTCATCCACACAACATACATTATTATATTTTAAATCATATTTAGTTTTTATGAATCTATAATAAAATACTGCGACAGTGAAAAAGTCTCACTCAGTACAAATATTCTACAAATTATTTATGGGAGCAGTTTCATGATTTGTATTGTTATGAAAATAATGTTGCAAAAGAAATAGAACATATTTTTATTAATTAAATAAGAATTTATATTATGTTTTTAAAACTTTACTGCTTTCAACATACAATCAAACTGTTTTCCACAACAAATTCAGAGTTTACTCATACAACCATCTATACGCCTTGGGCTGGCTTCAAAGATCTGCCCGGTTTTCATACTACGCCCATACTAAATTATAGGTTAAACAACAACCGGAGGCTAACGATCTATCTCTATCGACATACCTACAGTTTTTTTCCAACAGAAAATTTATGTTAAAAACATTTCATATATTCAGAAAAATAACTTATTATCCTTAACGGTCCGCCGGGTAGCAAAGATTGGAAACCACTGGACTAATTGTCAATAACATACATAAATAACCTAATTACTTACGATAATAATATTAAGTTGTCCAAGTCACACAACTTCATGATTGGTCACTTTTTATACGCACTACACACTCAACACTCAAACTATTTCGACTCCACTCGTATGTAACGTAGCGAAGCCGTTCTGTTACTGAAGAAGCGATTTGTCGGTAAGATGATGGGGCCCGAGTGCCCCCCACCGGTCACCCGCAAGACAATAGTCTATTAGTGACATTTCATAAATGAAAGTGCAAAAATTGGCGTGCTGAATGAATCGACAGCTATTAGCACCCTGCAGTCCACGTGGGGTTTTTACTATACTATTTTGTTATCAGGTAATCTGTATTGTCTCTGTAGACGGGTGACGAGTATTTTTTTAACTCATTAGTAAGCAGAAGTAATTGAACAGATTTTGATTACGTTTGGTAGGTATCGGGATATAGAAATCTAATTAAATATTTTAAGTCATGTTCTATTAACAATATTAAACCTTAGGACAAAATTTGTACATCTTTAGCAAACAACCTGTATATTGTAATTAAAATGTCACTGTAAAAGCTCGTGTGTTAATCTTAATTTTACTAGTTAATGCTGAGATTTGCCACATGAGTTGGTAAATGTATGAAATTTATTTAAATAATTTAATACGCATTATTTACATATAAAATTAAATCCCTTATGACTCAATTTTAATCACAATAAATTGACATTGTTTTTAATTATCATTCAACATTCCTTAGATACCTACTTCCTTAATTTAAGGGTTATATTTAGCATAACGAATACTAACTAGCAGAATTACTAATTGCATAGAAAAATGCATCAAACCATGATTGTGTTATGCAATTAGCAATTTTAAGCAATAATTTTTGTGTTCGAAATAATATTTTCACTAATTGTAAGTATATTTGTGTTTAATTATTAGGAACGCGTGAAACATCATCTTACAACACATTTAAAATACTTTGAATATTTGTAAGAATATACAGCCAAAAGGGGCATAAATGCCACACACCTCGCCAGTGCCGGATCAAGCCAGAGCAGGGCATGTTGCATTTTTTTTTGTAGGGCCCTTGGTCTGCTTGATATTAAGTGTATAATTGAAATAATACAAAATTCTTACATACACACTTTACTTGATTTGTAAAATTTAATTGTGAAAGTAATCGCCGATACACCTGTTCAGACTCAATTTGACTTACAATGTGAGTATCAACACGCGCCTTCTTATTTCTGAGATTTAACAACATAATAATGCTACGCATGGCTTTGCAAAAAATTATGAGCATTCTTCCGATCACCTAATATATCTTTCGTGATTACGGTGACGAATAATCTGAATCGGTAACTTTGCAAACGAAACAGAAAAGTCCATTGCTTTCCGAATAACACAATACAGCTAATCTGTGATTTGAGTTTTATTTGTAAATGTTTGTTTATACTTAAAAATAGAAATTTAGGCAGAAGCATGGCTTATTTACTTCTTGCATTTTTGAACACTGAAGGAAAAATTAATTTATTGGTCAGACCATTACGGGGTTCCCAGTTGCGCGAGGCCACCGTACGCGCGGGGTCCGTAGCACTTGCTACTTTTGCCACGTTGCTAATCCAGCACTGTAGCTTGTTTATCAACATTCATAGTCTCCTCCAGGTAAAACCTCAGATTTACCGAGAATTGATGGTTAACGTTCGAAATTAACTACAATTAGAGAACAATTAGAGCTTTTATCAGTAAACATTGGTATATATCAGGTTAAAAAATCCAGTATAGCATAAGAATATTTTACAACAATTTTTTACTCATTTAAATCGTTCGTACCTGTAAGACAGGATGCGCTCAAAAATTAAGTTTATTGAACGTTGACTAATTAATTAATTATTTCTGAGGTCGTATCAACTTCCACGGGTCAGCTAGTTTTAGGTAAATATAATTATTTACCCATTTTCCATTGACACTGGTGTCATTGATGGTTGTTGGAAACCATGTTCCGTGTCAATGGAACATGGGTAAATAATCATATTTACCAAAAACCAGCTGACCCGTGGAAGTTGATACGGCCTCAGAATTAAGTAATGAATAAGTCAATCATCATTTATCAGCGTCATAATTTACACTGCGCACACTCGTCAAAATTTACGATATCCGACCCCATCGGCAGCCGCCTCAGTAGCAATCATCTAGGAAATCATTAGGAACTAATGCGTCGACTGTTTAATTTGAATTTCAGATCAAAGCGCCCCCGACGAACCACATCATTTACATTGAGATTCTACGTGACTATTTTTTATAATATTTCTAAGTATCCTTATTACGGTATAATACGATGTGTTATATTGGTTTGACAGCTCCCTTTAATGTCTACCAATCGGCCAATCAATTTTCTATTCGATTTTATGTGGGTCTTCCAATTCAGCTTGCGATCTAAATGGATATTTCACTTTTTTTATGATCGGGTGAAAAATATATGATTGGGATTTTGATGCACTGACTTTGTTTCGCCGCTTTCCAAAACAGTAATGGATTTTATTAACGTGTCTTTAGACAATTCCTGATACTTTTATAAAACAACAATCGCTAGCCATCACTGTTGTATCACCGGTATATGTAGCTGTCAAGCAAGATGTATAAATATCAACAGCACAGGGCCCAAAACTGAACCTTGAGGTACGCCAACCTACCTAACCTAACAAACCAATCAACACTAACAATTTCTCCAAAATACTGACTTTAACTCACTGATCTTAAAAATACTGAATTTTATTAATTTTATTGATTTGTTGCGGCCCCTCTCACTTTAATGCTTAACTAATGTAGATTACGTTTTAATTGATCATTAATATTTCACCTTGGATGTTATTACCAATGGTTTAATGGTTTTTGCAATTTCACTGTAAGGTTTGGTGTGATGTAATTCTCTTATGACAATGCAATAAGGTTTCTTTTATCTCTAAGGTTCGAATGTGACGCTTATGTAGATGGCTGTTGACATGTAATCCATTCTTTGCATTTTCTAGGATTGCAGTCCAATTTTATAAGTTTTGGATGTTTCGATCACATCACCTAATTGAGTGTCGAGTAACATTTGGTAAAGGTTATGCAAAACTTCAAAATCTTAACTATATATTTACTTGTGTGTAAATGGTACCATTTTACTAATGATTAACTTCATCAGTAAAGAGTATTTCACTTTTGTTTGCCTTTTTACTATTTACAAGTGATTGGTGTTGTTTTTACAGATTTTTTTACCAGTGTGCTACTGGTAGTTTCGTCCTTAGAGGAAGCCTGCCAGCCGCGCCAGCTAGGGCTGCCAGCCCAAATCAAATCATTCAAGAGTTCACTTGTACGACTCCCCACTCAGAAACTAGTACAATTTATTACGGTAAACATATCATATATCATATATCTACACTAATATCATAAAGTTGAGACTAATATCATATCAAAAAAATTTGATTGTTTGTTTGGTAACAATGAATAGGTGTAGAAACTACTAGATCAATTTTAAAGAGCTGCATCATATGCGGGGGACCATATTTTATACTGAAAAACTGCAAATAAAGGAAATATAGGAATCAAAGTTTGTGAAGGGAATTAAAACATTACCATAGTAACCATTGTTTACTAATCACTTTGTCGTTTGTCACGATATGAATTGATATCCAAATTGCTGTTACATAGGAGCAGATAATCTTACTAATATTTATTCCACAACTAGGGATTATTCGCCGGTGAAAAGCTAATACAAAAAAAACACAAATAAATATACTAATGTATACCACTATTTCTCTATAAAGCTTTGAACATCTAGGTATTTATTTATTAGAAGTAATAAAGTTAACTATTAAGTTCACTATATTACTTCTATGTATGTTCAGGGTTTATTATAAAAAAAGTAAAGCAAACTTTTACCATGCCTCAAACTATTTCTATATTTTTATTCACAATCAAGGATGGATTATAGTTTTTGAATTTTATGTTAAACAGATACTTACTCTTTACCCATTTTTGGATTTTCTTCTTACAGCTACAAGTCACCTGGAACAAAATAAATACATTTGAATACATCAACAATGTTACGATTCATTTCTTTTACATTAACATGGAAAATTTATTAACATACCAACATCATTGGTTACTCAACTGTTTTGGGAAATATATTTCTAAACATCATATGAACATATTAAACCTTTATCAAATTTATTTTTCACCAAAAAATTTTTATTACACAAAGGAAAAACATATTTTTATTCATTAATTTAAATTGTCCCATTAGAACAATCAGTTGTGGCACTTTTGAGCTGTAACATTACATTTCAATAAACACAAGCAGTAGTTACACTGGCAACAGGGATGTTAATGCTCCGTTTGTTCGTTAAATCCTCAGATCAAATAAAAAGTAAAGATGGAGTTGGCTGAATAATAAAGTGAAGCCGATTTTTAGCAATTGTAATGTGCGTGTGACCATATTCATTAAAAACACCCCAATAACTTAACGTTACAATGTTATAGAGTTAACCTTCAACGCTATGCTATTTAATAATATAATGTAAATTCTTTGTCAATATCAGAATAGATATTATAAAATCTTTAAGAGTAGGTAATTATTATTAGAGGCCATACATTAAGGAGACTATTTAATTAATTTTTAAGTTAAGTTTGAAAACTTCCACTATGTTAACTGAAATTTTAATATATAGAAAGTTTGAAAATTTTGGTTATGAGTTTTGCTTTATTCGACATAACCCTTTTATAGTAAAATACATATCATCGCTCTTAAAAAGAGTCGAACAAACTATGCTGCGCAAAGTTGGATTCCTTTAAGGTTTATTTCGACTATTACGAATGACTGAAATCCACTTCTCTTTCACTTTTAGATGTCCGTTTGGAAATCTAAAATTTAATGCAAGCCCATTTAGTAAAAATAAAGACGTAAAAAATTAAAACCCATTTTTTCTTTTTTACTTCCTTATTCTAACACTTTAATATCTGTGATCTGGATCTCTATGTAGAATTTTCAATGCAAAATTTATTAAATATCATTTCCATACAACAAGAAACAAATACATAACGTAATTTGTGTTTTGTTAGAAATAACGCATTATAATTCGCATTGTATTCCAAGCAATTACTTAAATTACTGAAAATGTAAGTTTTCTCCAATACTTATGTGTGAAATGTGATTCCATCCTGCACTTTATTTTTTGAAGATTGGTTTTTACGACCTTTTACTACACAATTCGGCGGTTAGTAAGAAATTTTAATTTTTTTTATAATGAAATGTTCCGCACACTGTCTATAGTTAGACTGATAAGGAAGGCGTAGTTTGGTTATGTATGTGTGCGTGAAACTGTGTATGAATACGCCGAGGCGTAGTTTTGTCGGCTTCACTTTTCTGTTAGGCAAAACTCCATCTATACTTTTTATTTGGTCTGAGGTTAAATCTAAATGATAACATAGTTGGGAAAATTATTAAATCATTTTACACTTTACAACTACTTGTAGCAAACTTCATTAAAGTTTGTATCATAATGTAAGATTTAATTAATAATTTCACTATAAGCATTGTAAGCACAGTACTAAGTCTGGGTTATTGTATGATATGGATGTATATGCAACAACAAAGCCAATGTAAAACCAATACAGTCACATCAAAATGTAAAGGGGAAGATTGAAGGAAAGCAATAGGTTTTAATAACATTTTAGTATATAATGAACATAACCTAAAAAATATTTAAAAAATACATAGGAACTAATAAAATGCATGTAAAATAGCAAGAAGGATGATCTCAAACAAGCTACGAGTGTCATAATTATAAATTAACTTTTTAGAATTTTGTTGCATTCTGCTAATAAATCAAATATATCTACTGAATATCGGAGCCTCATATAGCCATTATAAAATTTTAAGTAACTTAGTTACGTGCATTTAGAAAAACTTATTCGAATAACATAATGAATAATAATAATAGAATTTACATACTTACTACAGCTTTGTACTAAGTAGAATTCTTCTTAAGGCAACCTTCTTCTAATTACTATACTGCTCACCTAAATAAATCTGTAAAATCCTGTAAAATTTAAGGAAAATTGGGAAACGAAAGAAAGTAAACGTCAAAGAATATACTAATCAGCGCAGAGCACAAACCATAGTGTAGTAGTAGACTTGTCTATGAGGCAGGCGAAGGAACTAAGCCATACAGCCGAGGGTTGGATTGTTATTTTCTTTATTATATTATTTTATAAGACAAAGCCTAGTCTTTCCTTATGAACTTCTTTTTTTCCAAACCATAGTGTTTATTACTCTTTAACACAAACTACCATCAAACTACATACGGCCAAAGAGTAAGAATCAGCGATGTCGGCAAAACCTTCACCAAGGAACAGCAAACTGTTCCTTGGTGAACAAACACAAAAAAATCTACACTATTGGAAACTTATACAAATCGATTATAATCAATGATAACAAAATGTCCGAGCGTTTTAGGTGAATTGGGTTTCTTCTCGATAAGCACACATTAATTTCCGCCAACTGGGCATTCGCATTTATATTTTTTAACAAAATTTATTTGAAATTAAACGAAAGTTTAGTTGTTAAGGATAAGTGAATATTTATTGCAAGTGTAAATAGATAAATAATAATAAAAATCCATAAATCTGTACAAGTAAAATATTTTTTATTCAATGGCTTATTCATCATCACCTAGCATAAACTATTAAAGTTTGATAAATAATCTTTTATTATTATAGTTAATTATTTTTAGTGGAGAAAATATTCACTGCAAAAGATTTACGGAAATTCAATCAATTCAACCTGATATTTTATTTTTTGACTACATTTAAGAATGAGTTAATACCTAAGATAAAATATGTTTTCTTTCTAATAAACGAGGTAATGGGCTAATGAAAAAGATAGAGCAGTAACATGGCGCATCCTTGACTGACAGAGGCCGAACTGCTATTATGACTTTCACAATAAAAAAAACTTCCCTTATAATAAATATCTAATATTTCTCATTTCATTTTTACTTTTGGTTATGTTTAAAAAAGTCCTTTCCGTTTATTATCGCGGTATTTACAAAAAATTCATGCAATGAATTGACAAACTTATAGATGTTAAATTATTATAACATTAATTTGGGTATTATTCATACATATTTCAAATATTAAAAAATGATTTATCCTTGCCTTTTGTGCTATCTATACTTTCTATTTTCATATGATGTCACACGAGTGTTATTCAGACAACGTTCCAGCGCATTAGAAATTTACGGGAAAATTTAAAATCCAAACATATAATCAATATTTAAATATATATAAAAAAATATATTTCCGTTTATTATCACGGTATTTACAAAAAATTCATACAATGAATTGACAAACTTAAAAGACGTTAAATTATTATAACAATAATTTGGGTATTATTCATACATATTTCAAATATTAAAAAATGATTTATCCTTGCCTTTTGTGCTATTTATACTTTCTATTTTCATATGATGTCACACGAGTGTTATTCAGACAACGTTCCAGCGCATTAGAAATTTACGGGAAAATTTAAAATCCAAACATATAATTAATATTTAAATATATATAAAAAAAATATCCCAAAATTCTTTTGTGGTAACACTCCAATATGGTACGCTTCAACCAAGGGGTTCATAGGTCTAGTCGGAGTTAATCGATCTGCCGTTCACGATTCTCTAAAAATTGAAATAAAAAAGATTCTGTAAAACACACTTCAAAAAGCAATTCCACTCAATCTTAAATTAGTTATATGACATTTCGTGGCATAGGTGAAGTGAGTTTCGAAATTACATAGGAATAGAATATCTGGAACTCGTATAATAAATCAATTTTAGATTGTATTTTTATACAATAAATGGAATCACTAGAATTTCTTCACTAAATGACGTGAATTTCGACATATATTCGGGTTCGTATTTTTACAGAATCACTCTCCAGGTAGTCGTGATCGGATCACTGACCACCTACTTTTTAATCTGAAACTCAGGCAACTTCTAAGGACGACTGAAATAAATTGTTCACAGATCTCTGTGGGCAAAAAATAAATATATAACTTGCTATAATATACCTTTGACGAACCCGTGGACAACAGTGATCCAAACAAAAAAGTTGCTCCATAACTAAAAAATTGTATGTAATAATGTGTTGTTATGATAACATAATAAACAAGTACATTCAGAAATTATTTGAAGCTTAAATTGCACTATTATTACAATATTCGTCGCATACAAAACTGCAAGCCTGTAATGAACTCGATCGGTTCCGGCGATGCAACGTGACTATTTTTGCTGACGGCGCGACCACCGTTCCACGCGGCGGCGCTTTACACAGACGAAGGAAATTTCAGTATAATTATTAGGTTCATTCTGATTCTAACATCGGTCACAGTTAGTTGTAAAAACTAATTTGTAATTTCTATTTTAATAAATATATTTAATTTAATTTTGTTGTTTTTTGGATCCTCCGGCTGAGACATCCAAAACTAATAGCAATTTAAGCTTCAACTAATATCTGAATATATTAGTTTATTATGTTATTACAACAACACACCATTCGTGACGTGAATATACGTAACGATGCACGGATGAATATTATCCTATTCGTTCTTGCAACAGACATCCCTATTTTGCTATTTTGTTAGTTTTGTTTGTTTTTAAAGTAAAGTAATCGTAGATCTCATGAACATATAGCTGTTTCAGAATTAGTTGAGTGTATAGATATTAGAAAAAATATTTTTTCATTAAAGGCCAAAAAAGAATTTTCCTAGGCAGACTAAAAATAATCCAAAAAAGTCACGTGACAGCCCTGTCTTCTCTACCATAGACAGCTTTTTCTTTTTTACTTCCACGCCCGGCGACGGCTCATGCCCTCGATTGAAGTTTTCATTTAAAAAAATTAATGTTAATTCCTGAAAAATGGACACCAGGAAACTAACAGAAATTTTGCGTGCCACCATCGATCCCAACCAAAGGCAACAAGCCGAAGAACAACTTTCACAGGTAAATCCCAAATCGACCACATGTTCCGGAATTTTATAAGGCAGCTAAATTACATGTCATAACTAAGTATTCTAGATTCCTTTGTGTTCGCTGTCACTGTAAGTAACCGTATTATATCATGCCGTGCTGTAATGATAGCCATCAGCGTGAGTTGAATTACTTGCGAAACACTTGTTTTCATACCACCCTGACAATCCACTGAATATTCTATTTTTATCCACATACCTAACCTACAAACAATCATATTTACCTGACTCGCTACACTCAGAAAGTTCCAACCAAACATAACGATCTGTCATAATATGTGCCAATATTTGATCGTACTTCCATTTGTCTGTATAAATTATTTATAGGTAAGATAAGATGTACTTTTACTGCTTCGCCAGATTGCATACTATTAAAAAATGTATACGTGAAATGTTTCACTGGTTAATTATGTTACAGATACACAAAATCATTGGGTTTGCACCATCACTGCTGCAAGTTGTTATGCTCAATGAAGTACCAATACCAGTTCGTCAAGCTGGTGTAGTGTACCTCAAGAATTTAGTAACATCAGGATGGCAGGAGAAGGAACCAGAGGAAGGGGAGCCGATACCATTCAGCATTCATGAACAGGACCGTGCCATGATCCGAGATATCATTGTGGATGCCATTGTACAGGCCCCTGATATAATCCGAGTTCAGTTGGGTGTTTGTTTAAAAACTATAATCAAACATGATTTTCCCACACGTTGGACACAGATTGTTGACAAAATTCACATATACCTGCAAAATCCTGAACCCAATAGTTGGATGGGAGCATTGTTATGTCTATATCAGCTCATTAAAAATTATGAATACCAATTGGCAGATAAGAGGGTACCTTTAATAGAGGCTATGAATTTACTGTTACCTATGATGTACAATTTAATTGTGAATCTCCAGGCTGACCATTCGGTTGAATCTGTCCTTATTCAGAAGCAAATACTCAAATGCTTTTATAGTTTAATTAAGGTGAGATTTCATTCTTTATTATTTGTACAAACAATAGTTTATGTGAACATGATTATTTTAAATATCAGGAAATGTTCACATTAATCACGAAAAGATAATTTGAAATAAGTTATTTAGTTTATTAAATTTTAACATAACATGGTAGGAAGATAGGCAAAGATCTACCTGAGACAGGATTTAAGTCCATAATGTTTCACTAATAAGGCAATTGTTTGATTCCTTTATTGTACATCTGAGGAATATATATATATATAAGTAGTGCTACCTAACAGCCACTGTTTTTGTATATTATAGAAATGCAATTGAAACATTAAAAAATGTGAATCTAACCTAATTGATTTTTATTATTTGTAATGTCATGTTTTGCAGTATATTTTACCACTAGACTTGATAACCAAGGAAGTATTTACCAAATGGATGGAGGTTCTGCGGTTAATATTGGAGAGGCCAGTGCCAGATCATACTCTGCAAGTTGATGAGGATGAGCGGATGGAGTTGCCATGGTGGAAGTGCAAGAAATGGGCAGCTCACACACTATTTAGAGTATTTGAAAGGTTTGTCAGATTTTAATTACAGAACACATTGTATTAGGTATGTTTTTTTTTCATTAAAAACCTTACTTCAACAGTTTTCAATTAATAAAAGGTTGACATAATATGTTGATTCAGTATCATTTTAAAGTATAATATTAGCTCAGGAATACAGAAGCAAATTATACAATCTATTTTTGATGATTTGGTAGAAAATGGCAATTAATTAATAGGATTGTGTGTATTTATAGGATTAATAGGACAGCCTCTTCTTAGTGTTTGCATTAATTGTTGTCTTCTTGGAGTATCTTAGCTACTTTATAAAGCATCACCAGAAATATTATAATCTAACCTTAGCTTATCATCAGAAAGAAATTTTGTTTTGATGATGATGACAATTTTATGATCAAACATGTAACTCAATACCGCTAAGATTATGCTTAATACAAATAGCCAACGAACTGCCAATGTCATTTTATCTTAATGAAATTTAACTTAAGTACCAAAACTTTTCTGTTTTGATTATTTATTGTTTATTGATTATTTTTTATTTCGAGTCCTCTTATTGCAGTGAAAGCATTCATAATGCTAGTACAAAAATAAAGTAGGATATGAAACGAACAGAAATTGAAGGAAAAGAATATATTATTATGTTATTAAATCAGTGTACACAAAATAAAAATATACAAAATATAATATGGATGTAAAACTCTTGTTTGCATAATTTGTCCTTCATCACACTAAGGACATATTATTTTTAGAGCAGCATCATATAACATTATTACCATGTCATGTCAAATCATTCAAAATGTTTTACATATTACTAAATTGCCACACTATCCAAATATTTTATTTTCAAAATGTTGTACTTGTAAAATGATTTTTTTTATTTAGCTTTATTGTACAAATAATAATGTACATATAATGCCATTATGCCTTTTCTCCTAGGCATTAAGTACTTACCATTATGTCTTGTGGGTTTTTATCCGAGTTTAAGAGTGGCAACTGCGGAGTCATATAGTATTTAGTTATAGTATTAACCAGGGGCCCAGTATCAAAATTTGTTGGGGGAACCAAATGGAGGGTAAATGTATTTGCTTACACCCTGACAGATATGGATGATATGGTGGTAGTAACACTCCCATGTGCACCACACAAAATATTGTATGTTTTCCCAAAAACTTTTACTTGTGTTTTTCAAGACTCCAGAACAAATTAGTTTCTCAGCGGTCAGCTATTTAGATGAATATCTATCCATTCATAAAATATTTATTCATGATATTCTAGAAACTGCTAATATTGTTCCACAAAAATAATGCTAATGCCATCCAAACCGAATAAGTTTGACCTAGGGTGAGCAAGGGAAAATTAGCGACGTTAAAATTATACTTTTTAACGTCGCCGATTTTTGTGATCTTACTTACATATGATAAAGTTAAACCAAATAAAGTTATTAGATATTAGATGTACCTGTCAAATATAACTTACTAAATAAATGTGTCTACTAGATGCCTACCTGTCTAATTAACAAAGTGAGAAAGCCAATTCTTATTTCTTTCTTACCCCTTCTTATGTAGAAGAAGGGATCAAACAGCTTGAAATTATTGAATAAGACATCCATTTTATCGTTTTTAATACCTCGTGATTTGAGAATCAAAAAGTATGGTTATGACACCGTATGCAAGTGTGACATTATGGGAATATGTGGGACTATGGCATTTTGTGATTTCAATATTGGGGATTATGCCGTTTTTAGGATGTGACATGGTGTGACTAAAGGAGCTACGCCAATGTTTAAAATATATCGCAAATTTAGTTCTGTAAATGAAATGTTATAATATGATTTCTTTTTTTTAGATTTGGCAGCCCTGTGAATTCCCGCGATGAATACGTCCAGTTTGCAGAGTGGTACTTGACTACATTCACACGTGGTATCTTAGAGGTACTCCTCAGAATTCTTGACCAGTACAGGAATAAAATATATGTATCGCCTCGAGTATTACAGATGACTCTTACTTACATTGACCAATGGTAAGTTTATTTCCCTTCCCTTTTCTTAAAAGTATAGGATTAAAATATTTTTTTTAGCATTATGTAGTGTTCATGACATATTTATTTCTGTCAGTACTATTTCAATTTAAAGGATTTGAGAATGTAACATTATCATTATTTTTGTATTACACTGACATGTAGTCACTTAAGATGAATGTGAATATAAATTCAAAGTGAAACATGTTTGAGGCCACATAATATATAAAAATGCTAATGTTATGAAGAAATACATATTAAATTGTTCCTTGCAAGGAACAGCCAAGTGACACACCCCATCCTCCAACCATAGTCTGCATTAATTTTGCATTGATGCATTGCATTAAAACAGGGTGTCCCAGTCTTTCTTGTGTGTAGGCTCTCTAAACTATAAACCCCCATTAAAGTCTCTAATTTATTTTGTATATAGACAAACAAATAATATTAAAGTTGATTTTTTTATTATAAAAAACATATTTATTGTTCTTACTTAATATGCATCGCCAAAACAATGCTCATATTAGGTTAAATACTGACATAAAAATGTTAACTCTTGTAAGTTATATATAATATAATACTTGTTTAGTGTAAGCCACGCATATTCATGGAAGTTACTCAAGCCGCACATGTTCGCCATCGTTCAAGATGTGATATTCCCTCTGATGTCGTACTCTGAAGCAGACGAAGAATTGTATAACACCGACCCTCATGAATTTATCCGCATAAAATTCGGTTAGTATATAATAAAAGACACTGCAAAATTGTGCATCATAAAACGTATCAGTCTCCTGTTACATTTATTAATATATTCGTTTGCACCGTGATAACAATTGATATTCAGAATGGCGCGTTATTTTGATCTAAAGCCTTCACATTCGTCAGGTTGAATTTTTATTGTTGTTTACTAGTTAAATAATAAGGTTCTTTGATTGTCGAACATTATTTAATTTTGCTGGGCACTCCAGTGTGTTTATTTCCTTATTCGGTGTTTAAGGGTGTTTATTCTGAAAGTTTACATGTGTCATATGTTCTTTTATCAAGTAACTAATACCAGCTAGTAGTTATTATTATCATCATAAGACTTTCCAGCTCCTTGGAGCTTGAATATCACCAGCTAATTAAATCAATACTGTTACAGATATTTTCGAAGATTTCGTATCGCCTGTTACGGCAGGTCAAGTGCTTCTCATATCGTGTTGTAAAAAACGAAAGGACATGATGGAACGCACCATGCAACTTTGCATGCAAGTTTTGAGAAACGAGAATGGCGAGTACGGGCCTCGCCAGCGTGACGGTGCTTTCCATATGGTCGGAACTTTAAACACAACTATCATGAAAAAGAAATGCTACAGAGATGAAATAGACGGTCTAATGAGTCAATACATATTTCCGGAATTCCACAGTCCTTTGGGTTATATGAGAGCGAGGGCTTGCTGGGTGCTGCACTGTTTCTCTTCCGTACAGTTCAAGAGCGAGCCTTTAACTCTAGAGGCGGTCCGTCTAACGGTAAACGCTCTGCTTCATGACAACGATCTGCCTGTGAAAGTGGAAGCGGCAATTGCCCTTCAGATGTTACTCACAGACCAAGAGAAGGTTTACAATTTCTTGGAACCACAAGTGAAGCAAGTTACAACTGAACTACTCAAGGTGATACGTGAGACAGAAAATGATAACATAGCGAATGTACTCCAGAAAATTGTACCTTTGTATACGGAGCAGCTGATGCCGATGGCTTTCGAAATTATCGATCATTTAGCGACAACGTTCAGTAAGGTGATCGAAACAGATTCTGGCACTGATGAGAAAGCTATAACAGCTATGGGTCTATTGAACACCATGGAAACTGTGCTGAGTGTTATGGAAGACAACCCAGAGATTATGGCACAGCTAGAGCCGGCAGTGCTGCGTGTCGTGGGACACATACTCCATCATAATATCATTGGTAAGTATTCAAAATTTGTTTGTTTAGTAAATTAGAAGAACGGTTGTAATACTATCTCTTTAAATTCTAGAATACTATGAGGAGGCCATGACGCTCTTGTGTAGTTTGACCTCGAAGTCGATATCAGAAGACATGTGGAAAGTGCTGGAGCTATTGTATCAGATCTTCGAGAAGGAAGGCTTTGATTATTTCCCCGACGTGATGCCGGTGCTGCACAACTACATCACTGTCGACACTAACGCCTTCTTGTCTAACGAGAATCATATACTAGCTGTTTTCAACATGGCTAAAGCAGTGAGTAATGTTTTTATATCTTCGGACTCGATAGATTATGCATATATACTATGCAACGAAAATGAATTTTCTAATGTTTTTTGCAAAAATGATAAACTGTTTCTTTACATGAATGTTATTTTATAGTATTGCAATGTTTGTTCATGTTATTTCGTATCCTCCTAATATATTATGTTTGTAATTATGGCAAAGCTCTAAGTTACAGTGGTATTACTGCTTATGGTTATAAAAATTTATTTGGGATAGTCAGGAGTCAGAAGAAATTTGAAAATAATCTGTAATCCCTATTCCATGGTGTTTAAGACCTTTTAATACGGTTTAATCTTGATTGTGTAAATCAGGCATGTCAAAGTTGCAGCCCGCGGGCCGCATCCGACTCGCCATCATAATTTTTCCAGAAAAAAACTTTGGTTTTGAGATTTTATACTTTCTATGGTAGTTTTAGAATGCGAAAATGTAATTTCAAGAGTTATCGTGAACAAAAATGAGCGAGTGTTAATAATTTATGCTTTCCTAATAATAATCCATATTGTTTGTTTTTATTTGAACCTGACGCGGCTACACATTCTAAATCTAATTCATATATGGCCCTTTGTAAATTTGAGTTTGTCACACCCGGTGTAAATAAGCTTCCATTATTCTATCCACAAAGCTCGAAAGGCAATCGGTACAATTTTGAACTTAATCCTCAATAGATAGAGTTTTGAAATCGATTTAAGTCTTGTATGACATAACATGCTGTTGTTTTTACATGTTTTATAATAAGTAAGTCCGTCCCTTTACCGTTGGGCGCCTCGCATGACAAGAAAATGCCTTGAGACAGTTTTATTGTGATGCGTGCTACCGACGGTTTACCTTGAAATATTATTTTATCAATAATAATGACTGTGTTCCGAGCTATCGTGTGCACGGTACATTTGTTTAAAACTTTGTGCGCGTTTGAAAGTCGCTAGAAAGATATTTTCAACTACAAACTGATTTATTGTTCAAGTATTACTTTATTTAACCTTGACGTTGATTCGTTGCATTAGATATAAAAAAAAAAAATTACATACACACTGCATACAAAGCGGTTTTCCTCATTTTTCGGATTCCATAGATAATATAGAACCCTTATTGGATATTTTCGTATTAGAGTTCTCAACATATTCCTACGGTATATATGTACTACATTTTCAGTTCAAGATATTTCAAATATCAAGCACTAACGAATTTGAAATTGTTTTTTTTAGTAATAAGTTAAATTCCGAACATGTCTTATTTACGACTACCATTTGTAAATAAAAAATAACCACTCAAAACCACCAACAGCTAAATTCCAATTTCACTATAACAAAGGACCAAGCGCTTGTTTCCGTGGAGTATCTATTAAGCTGGCAACATTGAATGTATATCTATTACTGTTTACTGTACAATAAAGATATTCTAATAAAATTCACAGTGATAAATACAATAGCCAATTGTTTACCTATTTGATAGGCAAATGTATATGCGTAGTTTAAAAATATTATAGTGTCTTTGCTTTTTCAATACAGTATTACGTATCGATCGTACTTGCCATATATACAAGGTTATTTCTGTATATTTTCTCTTTACATTTATTTGTACATTTATATGTGGAGTACGAAAATTTACGAGTTGCCAGGGTTGTAAAAGTTACTTTATAGTCGGTCAATCTCACAAACGTCCATTGAGGTTTAATGACGCCTTAAAAAGGTGTATTGAATGTCAAATTAGTATGGGTTATGTCGCTTTAAACTAATGTCATTTTTAACGGACGTTTGTGCAAATGGCTGTCTATTATTTATTATTTTTTTTTAAATAAATTTTTGGAGATGTCTCTGATTACGATGATTTTTAATCAGTTCAGTTAATAGGCTGACCGAAAAAAATATTATCCAGTGTTCCTCAGTACTATGGTAGGCAGGTTCGTCATTTGGGATAAACTCTGTCAATTATATATCACACGAAGTTCCGAATATGAATCTTGTCCTAATCCATCTAGATCACCATTTTTCTTTGCAAAGTATTTTCATATATAACATTATGTTTCCAAGCTAAACGCTATTAATGTAAGTTATTTAGCTTTGATGGATTACATACTTATTACTCTATACGTGTTTTACTATTGTTTTAATATAAAGTTTTTGTATGAGATACTATTATAAAAGAAATAGATGGCCGATATTATTGAAATTAAGTAATCATGACCAATAAATATATGTAAAGTAACCAGGGACGCGTCTAACGGTATATTAATGATAAAATATGCGTTAAATTATATTCCGATTTAATTCAATCTGTAGGCAATTAAGTTTAGTAATTGGTCTTTACCGAAACTTAGTCATAATGTAAGTATTCTTCCGTACAGCACGCTACGTACTACCTCCTTTTGGCGATTCAACGTTTTCTGACGTAGTTTCCTGAATATTTATCGGCACACAATATATAATGTTATATGTATTCATAAAAAATGCTAATCCTATGCAGTCTGCGAACTATCTTATGCGCCAGTCTTTTTTATCTTAATATTTTATGTTGCACTGCGTTCACAGCTGTCCATCAAATTGATTGTATCATCAATATTATATATGTCATGTGGCTGAGCGATGTTTATATTGATATCGGTATATATCTGTTGCGTATCACCCGCAGTGGAACGTCGGAACTTACTAAATATAAATATAGGTAACATGACAATTAACCATTCTCACTGGACAGATAATCCGTCATGTTTGCACTTGTTTGTTTTCGTTAATTTTAAGTAAACTTTAAATTGAGCCTGTAACGGTAGAAATGTGTTTATTTGTAACTAGTTTTCCCGCATATCTATACTAATATTATAAAGCTGAAGAGTTTGTTTGTTTGTTTGAACGCGCTAATCTCAGGAACTACTGGTTCGAATTGAAAAATTCTTTTAGTGTTGAATAGACCTCACGCTGTATATTACATCACGTTGCAACTATTAGGAGCGAAGAAATAATGGAAAAAGTCGCTGGCGGCCACTAGTGATGTATATGAAACACCCCGTAGGTAAAAGAATTTTCGGTTAGTTTAGTAATTGCTGAGTCTATGAACAAACAAACAAACAATCCAATGTTTCCTCTTTTATAATAATGGTATAGATTGTTGGTAAATAAAGAAACTTTAGTGCACCATATACTGTCCGCTCGTCTCCTCTATCTACAAAAGTTATTTATGAAAATCATCACTATCACAGTAGAATAATGATAATAAATATCATTAAATAAAATACCTAATAACATTAAATAAGATATCATTAAATGTTAGATATGCACAAACAATTTTGGACTTAACCCAAAAGTTACTGGATCGATTTTGACAATTCTTTTACTAGTGGAGGTCTGTATATTTTATCACTGAGTTTTTTATGCAAAGCTTCCGCCTAATCGTGACAGCGAGTTTTTCCGTTTACTTAGTACTGTGCTATGTTATTTTAATTTTTTATAATTGCATGTAATATGACAGTGAATGCTATTATATATTATTTTTGTCATACTTGTCGTCAGTAAATTATTTTCTATAAAGTTCATTAAAAATATGGCAGTCCGTTCATTAAATAATATTTACAATTAAATTTAAACATGGTAGTGGAATTTAGTTAGGAATGAGTGGGCAAAGAATATACTCGTAATAGAACACTTAATTTATGCGCCTCTGTTGGCTTAACTATGCTCGATTGTGTACCGAGAACAGTGGAATTAACCCCATCAGCCTACAAATTAAATTTACCATTGCTGTAGTACGTACAGGTCTCATATACAGAGAGGACGAGTCCAGTGCGGATAAATGGTGTTGACGACCATTCATTTAACGTGCCTTTCTAAGTACAGAGGGACTCTTGCTTATAACTGTCATTTCTACAAAACATCATAAGTGTTAATTGAACTCTTTTTGAGCATGTTTAATCTTCATATGAGAAATTAAAGGAGAGAGTTCCCTTTATAGAAGTAGATGGTGCTGTTGAAATAATTGATTGATAGAAAGTTAAATAGTTTTTGTCCGGAGGGTGCTGGCATGACTATTAGATCTTATAGCAATGCTTAATGATGGATATTTTTGATGGTCACCTTACATGAGTAATTACTTCGGACAGACAAGGCATTCCACATGAGGCATCAGAGATGCCTGACAATATTTAGTGAACTCCATTATAAGAATACTATGTCTTTCTCTCAGGTACTGAACTCTGATGCAGAGGACGAGTCTGAGATGGTAGCGGCGAAACTTCTCGAAGTTATGGTACTGCAATGTTCCGGCAAGATAGACAATTGTTTACCATCATTTGTAGAGCTGGTACTCAACAGACTTACGAGGAAAGTGAAAACTTCGGAGCTAAGAACCATGCTATTACAGGTGAGACACTTGGGGAAGTCACGTGTTTAATACCAGTTTTAGAAATTCTTATAATATATGCGATGTTCATCCTACAGGTTTTGATTGCCATTCTGTACTGCAATCCACACCTCCTGTTCACCATTCTGAATAAACTGCAAGAGTCTGTACCGAACGCGTCCATATCGCAACATTTCATCAAACAGTGGATACACGATACGGACTGTTTCATGGGGTTAGTATTGTTTATTGAAATGTTAAAAGGAATGACTTACTTATATTCTTCAATTGAGCTGGTGAATGTAACTTGTCGCTGCTCAGACGATTCTGCATCTCTACACTAAATATCAAATAAATTAAAAATAATGGAGGTCGTATACTTTGGTCAGATCCCAAATAGTCATAACTAAAGCATTTGTAATTATGGAAACCTGAAACAACAAAGGTATCACAACACAGACCTGAGACAATATAGAAAAGTTAATTTTCTATATTATCCCGACCTGATATCGAACCCGGAATCTCCATCTCTGAGGGAGATCGGTATCAGTATGCGATTCACTCAGCTACGGAGGTCCACTTCATCATCATCATCAGTCTATTCATTCCCCATTGCCGGACGGAGGCTTTCCGTATGGATGTTATAAAATCGAATCGATTGGAGAGTCATCCTATGACCGATCCGTGCGTAAGTTGTTTAACTATAACTTAGTCTTTACAAAATAAGAGGTCCCTTTTGACACATAGCATCAGTCTGTAAATAGTGACTAACAAAAAAATTCGATAACAGATTATCGATTATAAAATGAGGTATCAATTTGTTTGTGTGTCGTGCGTGCACTTTTTTTTATCAATAAATAATAAACAATAGAAATCTCTTCAATTTTGAATTATGATTACCTCTAAAATAAGATTATTCGAAAAGATTCAATACAAATCTTTATCCATTGAAGCAAATACTTGAAAATTTTATAATATTTGCCTTTATTTAGGCCCTAAGTAAATGCTATATTATGTATTTGCCTTTATTTAGGCCCTAAGTTAGTGCTGTGTCCTGGGTATGCCCAAGAACATGAATCAATATGATTCAGTTCAACAACACAAGGAAAATAGTCAAATGTCAAAATGTCAAAACTGCATACAATTTTTGCAATTTAATTTGAAACTTACACCTAGATTATCATCATTAAAATATGTTGCAAGAAGAAGAAAAACAAAAATCTAATGTCTATTTCCTAATTCAGGCTACACGATAGAAAACTGTGCGTGCTGGGTATATGCACGTTGTTAGAAATGGGCCCACAGAGGCCGAGCCTGGACGAAGTGGTGCCTAAACTTCTGCCATCTTGCTTGGTGCTGTTCGACGGATTGAAGCGAGCGTATGAAACACGAGCTGAGGCAGACGACGACTCCTCATCAGAGGATGACGACGACGAAGAAATCGAAGGTCAGTCTATGTGCAATGTTTGTTTGCTGAATATTCTAGTGTTATGATCACTTGATCAGAGAGCAGAACAGTAGAAGCGTTATTTAGTGGAATATTATGGTTCTTTCCTAGGATGCTGGTGTCTTATTCTTAATGCTTGTTTTTTTTTTTAATTAGTATTTACCATTGTTTATTAGTCATGATCAGTGGATTTTATGCTACCGACTTAATAACTTTTGTCTTTTAAATATAGATTAAAGGTTTTACAAAATTTAAAATTAAAAAAACATCTTTTCCTAAGCGCAATTCCGAAAAATATTCGGGCTTATTATGAATGATAGTCGTAAACTATGTGATGATTCCACATAATATTGACCGACTGATTTTGTTTCAGTTTAAATTTTTGCTTTTTTATTAGAGCATTTCTTTGTATATAAATGTAATTTTAAATGAGCGAAGGAAAAAATCAATAATCATTCATATGGAAATGATATCAGTATCTAGCTTTCTTTTCGAAACGGTACCATAACGGTTCCCATGGATACAATAAACTTTGACTGTCAGATTATTGTCAAATCGAAGTATTTGAAGTACATATTTTTTCCACAGAGATCCTCTCTAGTGACGAGGATGACTTGGATGACGCGAACAGTGAATATCTGGAGCACCTCGCTCGTATGGCGGCTAAGTCCAGCGCAGCACAGGGTGTAAATTTAACAGCTAAAATAGAAGATTACGAGAGCGACGACGTAGTAAGTGTATTTCACAGAGTTATTCTTCAGAGCTGACTAAATATACAACTATTCTTTTTTTTGTCGACAGTACAAGATGTGGCTTTGACGTCATTTAGTAACTGTTGGCACCAGTAGCGAATATATATAACGCTTTCAATAATACTAATAATAACAATTTATTATTTGATTATTGTAAATCTTGGGACATTCAGGCCAGGGTTTTACACGAAAACATTTTTTTTTTTAATGTAAAACCCTGATTGATTGATATGACGCCTCACTAGTTTCATTTCTCGCGCAAAATACTCACTATAATTATTATCATTAGCTTGATGTGTTACTTTAATATTGCTTCAATAAATCGAGTTCCTCAAACTATTCATACTTAACATTTATATTTATTCGACTGACAGCCAGTTGCACAAACGTCCATTATTACCCACACACAACTGACCGTGACTAAAAACACAAGGGGATCCTACAAGAATTCCATTTTTTTCCATATGAGATTTGGTACCCTAAAATTAAAACTTAGAGTGGACTTGCATATTCTAAGTTTTGTCTGAAGAGCCTAAAACGTTCAATTAATATTTTCATATTTTATCAGGATGATGATGACTTCGAGCCGGACGAGACAGCCATTGAATGCTACACAACACCCCTCGACGATAAAGACTGTGTTATCGACGAATATATCAAGTTCAAGAACACATTATCAGGTAAATAACAAACAGAGGATGATAGAAGTGGTCGGACCATCTACTGCTCCTGAAGTATTTTTCCCATAGACATGTACAACTATCTCAACTAGTACAAACCAACATGTTTTAAAATGTTAAACGATCGTTTCTGTCTACCCCACACGAAGATATATAGATAAGATGACCAATATTGTTTTTATGACATACATCCAGTTGCATGAACGTCTATTAAAATTAGAGTTCGTAATTATCAAACTAATTATTTTTTGGATAATTATCTGTAATAACTGATGACATTATTTAAAATACAGAAAGGCATTCTTAATTGAATAAACTTTTATTTTTGTTGTTTCAAATAATAAAAAAAATAATCAAAACATTAACATGTGAAATCACATTGAACATAAAGTGAAATGAAAACATCAAGGTAATTATCACTCTGGACCCTGATTACATTAGTTTAAATTGTCATTAGTTTAAACTAGTTTAAAGCTACATTATCAATACCAATTTTCAAATTTAGATCACTCATCAGAACTCAAAGTTATAACCTTAATGAACGTTTGTGCAACTGTGGTGTGTTAGGCTATAATTTTCACGGTAATTAGCTAGTAAATAATTAAAATTGATATATGTGCAGCGTTGTCAACGAGCGAGCCCGTGTTGTACCACGCGTTGACCAGCGTCCTCAATGAAGAGCAACAGAAACAGCTGAAGGCCGTGTTCGTGTTGGCCGATCAGCGTAAGGCGCAGAAAGACAGCAAACGCATAGAACAGAGTGGAGGTCAGCGTCACAATTATCATTCAACATCATTAGCAACCAATGTCCCTGTCTATATATCGCACACCTAGATCTAAACTGAGACAACTCAAAAATTTTAGTGAGTTTAGACTTAGTACAATATTTAAATACTCGGTGATCATACGCATCTATCCAACATAACAGATTCAATAAAGGTTCGGGGATGAGTCGCTAGATAACTTTAGCTCTTTTTTTGTTGAATCAACAATAGTCGCGCTCCTGCCACGTAAACAAATGTATTGTCAAACCTCCAAATTACTTTTTTGAGTTGTCTTAGTTTAGATCTAGGTGTGCGATATATAAAAGCGAAAAATCACTCACTCACTCATAGCGAAATCTCAGAAACTACAAGCGCTAGGAGTTTCAAATTTTGCATGCGGCTTCTTTTTAGGACGTAGGCGCTCACTGAGACAAGATTTTATGAAATTCAACCCCTAAGGGGGAAAGTTAGAGGATGAATGTTTGTATGACACTTTGTTACTAGAAGTGCTAGGAGTTTCAAATTTTGCATGCGGCTTCTTTTTAGGACGTAGGCGCTCACCGAGACGGGATTTTATGAAATTCAACCCCTAAGGGGGTAAATTAGGGGATGAAAGTTTTTATGGAATTTTCTCACTTATGGACTTGAAACTAGATTACGTGGACGAAGCTGCTGGCTGGAAGGCTAATAGAGTTATATAGGCATAATAGTTAAGGACCTAGAATTAATCGGTGCTAACGACTTCAGAAGTTTAACATGTTTTTCGAAAGACGGAGATAGGTGATAACATATTGCTGGTCAACTTTCCAATGGATGTCTTAGCGAACGATTCTTAATATCAGTGCTATGAAAATATTACGTCTACTTTTAATTTACTAACAATTGTCATAAAAAATCTATTTGCTGTAATAATGAATCAAGTAATTTAATTTAATTCAATAACATGAACCATAACTATATCTGTCTAAATAGATAGATGCTTTCGCTTTTACAATAGACAGGTGTCATATTTGTTTAGACGGCAGGCAGGCTTGTAGTAAACTACAGGACAACGTAAATTTTATATTATTGGAAAAAATATAAATATATTATTTTATTGGAAAAAATCGAAAGAGAGTATTTGACTTGAACATAGCCACTAAATAATCAATAAAGTTGTTTTCAGAGCTAATTAGAAAAAGAATTATAAGTGTCTAGAAAACGCAAGAATAGAATGTATTATCCAATAGATATGATAAAACACGCATTTACAAAAATATTAAACATGTATTTTTTGTTTTGTCATATCATTAAATTACAGCGATAAGTACATGTTATAATATGTCACATCACGTCACGCTTTTGCACATTTTCTATAAAACTGTGTTGTAACTGAGCCTGTTATCTGAGCTATTTATTGTTAAATTGAATTTTAAAAAATTCGTATCTAATATCTGACTGACAGAATAAATAGATTTTCTTTTTTTTTTACCAAGCCATTATGCCTTTTATGTAAGCAACGAGTACTGATGTTTCAAGCAGCTGATAATTTGTTTAACAAGTCAATTGATTATTTTTATTTGTTCCCATTTACAGGTTACGCTTTCACAGTACCAGCGCAAGTACCGACCAAATTCAAGTTCGGATCATAAATTATTATCAATTATACATATTATATATCATTTCACATTCGTTGGGACCCCATTCAGCTCATAATTGATGTTCCACATAGTCAATTACCAATACCAACCAATTTGACAAATTATTTAAATGATATAGTAATCTACTACGCTTGAATGTCAACAAATTATTTTAATACATTTGTTCTTAAACTTGATTGTTTTATTCTAAGGTTGTCCAATTTAAGTTGGTTTTGAAATTATAATAAAATCAGCTGAATGGTGGCTCCCATGAGGTATATGTTTCCTTGCGAGTGTAAATTCTGTCCACTGTGAAATCAATGTGAAATCGAAGCGCTATTGTCATATTTGTGTTTTATCAAACATTAGCTGTGAACTAAATTCAGTCACCGTAAGTATTATATGAATTGCACTTTTATGTCTATTTATGTCTTAATTTAGTATTCAAAAATTTATAAAAAAAAAAATCACAATTTACCTGCTTTTCAAATGGGATCGGTTATTATTTTCGGTAACACATTGACTTAGCATAAACCTTATGTTTCTCAAATGTTCGTGTTAAGTTTGTTCTAACAATCTAAAGGGAAATACAATTCGAAAAACCAAGATAATACTAAATGAAATCAGTAAATGCACAATTAGCATTTGTTAATATGGTGATCTTTTTTAAATACAACTTGAAACTATTTAGATACAATCATCTAAATTATCCCATGTTTTGAGGTGAATCCACACACTAGCTAATACACGCGTACGTCGTTGGATTCGCAAGATATATTTTTTTTTATGCGAACCCGTTGATTTGCTAGAATTAGTGCTAGTTAAAAATTGTCGATAATACCTACTGTTTTTGTTGTACCTCTCATACTAATTTTATATACAGTTATATCCACTTTATCAGCAGCAGAATCCATAATGTTTGGTCACAATCGCGTTTTTCAGTAGTTGGTTGTTCTCGGTTCGATAGTCACTTGTATAAAGGAGGAATGTCGTAAGTTGATATAAAGCCAGTTGATATGTTATTGGGTGATATACAACCGTCACGGTTTATTGTGATCATATATTTATAAATTTTTACTAACAAAAGGAATATAATAATATCAATGAATTTTATGTCAGTGGCTCTTATTTCCTTTCGAGTGTCAATACAAAAAATATAAATTACCTAATAAACTGAATTTATTTACATTGTGTAACGGTCACCCACGTGAAATTGGCAATTATAAAGCACTAACGCTCAGAAAACGTCAGTGGAATAGTTCTTGTCATCTTATTATTGAATTACTTTTGAAATAACACTCAAATATATTATTTTATTTTCGATGATGCAACTTTAATAATGTTGTACCGACAAGGTATTTTTTTTATTGATTATGTGTTTATAAACATTCCTTCAATTGCCATAACTACTAATTGAACGGATATTGAACTTGATTTAAACTTATTATTCTTTAAAACAATATCACCGAATGGTATCCTGTCTTAATACAAACAATAGTAAAACTAAGTAGAATAAAATGTGTACTTTTGACTTTGAACACTAAGCTAGAATAGTTCGTCGTATTATTTTTTATCATGGGGCCTATAAATAATTGTCTGTATTGCTTGGTTACCTTCTGGTTGTAACGTTGTACATTGATATATATTTTTTATTTTCGGAACGTGAAACGTTTATTATTAATTATATATAGGCAACATCTTTGGGAGCAAATCGATAGTCAGAATTAAAATTGGTGGTGCTGTAAAGTTGTAATGTTGGCCATCTAAATGATGATTATTGTAAACTCGTTTGCATTTATTAACGTTTCATTGCAATCTGACTATAAATTATTTTGATATAAGCATTAAATCATTCTGTCCTTGAACGGTTTTTGTTTTAACATCATCACAACTATCATTAGCAGGACATTGTCCGTACCAATTTGGTACTCATAATTATCAGCTTCAAATATAAATAAAAACTATGAAATGTAAATTCTATAGTTAATTCTATTTTCGCCTGTGCTATATACAAATTATCGATTCGGACGACGAATTGATGCATGACAGCCCTCTAGCGACACTTGTGGGGGGTTACATATACAAATAAAGAAGAAAGCTGACTGAATACATAATTGAAATGTAAATAAAGGGTATAAAAGTTGCATAAACGACTCCCAATATAATACAAGTGACAATTTACACAAGAACGATATGAATATTAAAAAAAAAACTCCATTTGACTTGTATTTAATATACCATAGTTATCTATTTGGGATATAATATGCACGCTCGATTTGGTGTACAGTACACAAATTTATATCGTAAGATACTTGTTAAATGTTTATTCATTTGTGCATGTTGGTCTATTACTTGTGTAACAATTGTTTTGTTATTTTTATACTTCGTTATACGGTATTTAAGTAGAGCGTATTTATATTTTTAAATTGCATGTTAAAAGTTAAGTACCATAAAAATTGTTTGGCATTAAAAAGTAATGTCTCGATGTTGTGCCCACAAACGAATATACTAATGTTGGTTACAAACGATTTCCTGTTTTAAATAAAATGGCACTGAATTTCACCGTGATAATTTCACGTGGGTTTTATCAAATGAAATGTTATATTTATATAGTGGGCGACTGTTTTACTTTCAAGCATAATACAATTTCGTCTCTAAAATTGTGAGATAACAATTTAAAAAGGCTTTATTTTTATATATAAATATAAAACAAACTAGAGTGAACAGAACTATCAGTACAGTATGCGTCATGTAGAGCCAGATCATTATTTTCCTGTTCAATCCGAAGTCAGTGTCTTCCAGTTTTTACTGTTATTCTAAATTATTCGTTAACTTATAATTTTTATGTTCATATTATTTGTAACGCAACTTGTCCATCATATGAACAGTCTTTAAAATATGTGGTCATCAATTTGAAATGTATGTGTATGTATGGACTTCTTAAGGCGTGTGCTAAATTTTATAGATGTATGTTTATCCACCAATATCTCGCTAACTACAAGTCGTCGGATTTAACTGGTTTTTTTTAATTGCTTAGCTTTTGAACTTAGGAAACACTACAAGTTTTATCAAAATCGGTGCAGTAGTTTGAAGATATAAAGTATTAAAATTGATACTACTTTAAAAATAAATTAAACAACTTCGTAAACTCGTAATATAGAGAGACAACTGAAAAGAGAAAATTAATACCACAAAATTTTTATCTTAAATGAAACGAAACAAAAAGTGTAAGCGCCAAAATGGTTTTGTGGTTTACTACATTTTTGTTTTACTTATATGATATTTTTTTCTCCTAATTATCTGGCACCAACTTAAAAAAAATTCTTAGTGTATCCACTTTTTGTCTCGATTTTATTTAAGATAAAAAATTTATGGCATTATTTCTTTCTTTCAAATTGTTTTTCTTTAATGCGACTTTTTGAGGTTGGTTTATTTTTTTTATAATCTTCCTTTTGCTCTTTATATTCAAGTTGATTATAACATAATTTCTCGTGTTTTTAATACTGATGCCACTTTGACATTCAACTCGTATTCTTATTCCTCTCTATTTATTCCTCTGCATGTATTAAGGCACTATCAAGACAACTGAAATTTGAAACAATCTAAGTTGATACAAATCACTATTCTCATGAAATTAAATATTTTTTCCAACATTTCTTTGTTGTTTTGTGCTTAATATGACGTATACTGCACAAAATGTGAATAACATAATTTAGGTATGTGGGTAAAAACTTCTGAAAGTACTTTATGTACGGCATAATGGAATCAACTTTTTGTAATCGAAACAACGAAATTATTATTACAAAACGTTTTAGATATTGTAAATTAAAGATGTGAATTAAAAAGCCATAATTTGACATAAAAAACAAATTCATTAAACACATACATGAATCAAACAACCTTGATAATTGATATCAAATCATTATGTTAAGGAGTACACATCCCATAAAACTGACATTGACACCCTCATTAATAATTTGTTTTTATGATCAGGAAAAGTGATTCGTGATTGATGTTTATGATGCATCTTTTCTGCATTATTTGTGTTATCTCCATTTGCAGCTTAGACATATAACTACAATAAAGTAATATGTATTTTTTGAATGTTGTTTTCATTTCTAACAGATGAAATCAATGAATGCAGGATTAAAACCTTTTATTTCTTAATTATGTCACACAAAACAGCAAAAACTTAAGCTTAAAAACCAACACCATAAAGATTGGTACATATCTGAAGATGCATAGCGTCTCATCAATTGTATAATGTTAACTGACAAATGTATGATTGGATCTTCCATGAGAGGCTTGATAAATTTTTCTGCCAGATTTGCATCAATCCTAATACTAATTTAATTAAAAGAATACCACTTAGTACAATAACATTTGGACATTACACAAGTTTTTCAGTTGTAGAATGATTTCCAGTATCTACCCATCCTTTAGTGAATCCGACTCATGACAAAGAATATTGATGATTATTATTACATATATTCTGACACTTATAATATAAAGAAGAAAAAAACATATCCAAAATAATAGTAAAAATGCAATATAAGTCAGGTGCAAGATATAGTTATAAGAAATTAATAAACACACACCTAAGTATTATAAACCTTTACCCAACTAAATATTACTCATAAAACAATTATTTTTTAGAAAAGAAATACAAGAAAGGCTTAAAATGTGTGACGCCTACGTCTCTTTTCTTGGAACTTTCCTATCTTAGATGTAGTGTCACAATCGCGGCATACACCACAGAATATACTGGTTATTGTATGAAATGGACTTTGATAATATATGCTGGTATCTGTTAACCTTTTATTTTTCATGTGACATCTCACATGAAGGAATACTTCCAGTAGAACTATAAAAGTGCACATATAAGCTGGAAAAAATGCCAATGTGGGTATTAAGAGCAACCTTTGGCTTATTTTGTTGGAACCAGAGAGTATTTGCTCCTTTAGTGATTGGAATTTTTTGGTCTTGCTCATGTAGCATTTTGGGAATTTCATATATCTGGATGGTTGAGCATTACTTATTGTTTCTCTAGAGTTATTGTATATTGGAGGAATATTGGTATCCATGTCAGGTTCCCCTGTTTCGTCGTTCACATCATAAGTTATAACTTCACCAGTCTCGTCGTCGTAACAGGAAGCGCGTATGACCATATTAGCAAGTTCCAATAGATAGGATCTGGAATCAAAGTATTGTATGTTGTAATCGTTCATACGATATTTAGGAAATTAATATTTAATGACTTAAACCACAACTCACTCTAATAAGGTGCTATCTGCACAAAATCGGTGTTTTTATTATGAGAATTAAAACACCGATTAATATTTATGGGTAAAGTTATTAACAAACTAACTTAGGAGTCAGTAGGAACTTTCTAAAATATAAAAATAATCACTTGGCTTGGCATTGGCAAGACAAATAATGGCCACAGACCAAGAAGTAGGTATAATGGCCAATAGCGAATACCATAGAGTAAGTAAAAATTACATAGAGTAACAAAAGTGGCGTTGGCCTTTCGGATTTCTCAGGAAGAATCCAGTGATTTTCTCAGTTCGTATGCCCTAGCTTATGGCAGGGGTTCCCAAACTTATTTTGTCTACTGGTCACTTTGAGAATAAATTATTTTTTCACATGTTTAAAAACCACTATAACGTCAAATAAAGTTAATTCATTATTGTAAGCTATATTAGCGGAGATTATAAATAACGACGAGCGCGGCAAGCACTTTAGGCTACAGAAATATGTATATGTGGTTACCTCTGCCTGCTTGTTGCCTTTTTACCTTTTTCTTGCTCTCGTCGGGCTGGATGGTTTTAATGGCCTCCTTGTCATTTGTATATTAAAGACTTTAATCCTGGATCTTGTGATTTTGAGATGGGTTACATTGTATTTCGAGAACCACATATTATTTTCTTTTCGCTCACTTGTAACTTGCTTGAATTGTTTTACGAAAAAGAACTCACCATTTGTAACTATAGAATGTTGTATGGCATTGAATTTTTGTTTATGGCCACGCTTGTAATTCCTCTGGGAACTGATGATCCATGTTTGGATAATAATTTATTATTGAGTTAGGATGCGGGAAGTCAGTGTACTGTATTTAATAAGCAGGTTAGGTAATTTAATGTATTTAATAGTATTTGTCGCGCACCGAACAGGCTCTGTCAGAATAACAGCGTTGACACGGCACACATGTGTGTTACGATAACACAAGCTGAGGCAGGGTCCTGATTTTTAATTTAATCTTGCCCTGTTAACGATTAAAATTGATATAATTTGTTTTCCCAAGCCAAATACTATAGGAAAAACCTATTTTATTGTACAAAATTAGATATGAGTCAAGTAGCCTATTGTTTTTATTTTATTGTTTATTAATAGTGGTATGTTTTATATTTTTGTGAAACATATGTTGTAATGTATTTGTTTGTATTATTGAGGTCAATGAGCGTTTCTTCTTCTTTTTATAGAAACGTAATTTTATAATATTCAAATAGAGTATCTTTTAATCAAAATGAAACAAATATAATAGATTCTTATATTAAAACTAATGATGAATTTGATGCTGTTTAATAAGTTTGTTGATGATTTGATAAGGCTTGCCCTCAGGGAGGGCGGGCCACCCTGAGCTCAGGTAGAAAATATGAAGTTCCACTTCTGGGATGTGAGACCGGCTGAGGACATGCAGCCAGTAGGAAGATTAATGATTTAACAAAATCTTGCCCGCAAAGAGGGCGGGCTGGAAACGGCTGAGGTCATACGGCCGGTAGGTAGATTGATGATTTGATAAAGACTTGCTCTTGGAGGGCGGGTTGGAAATGTTGACTTATCTACAATATAATCTGTGGTGATCTAAATGTGAAGTTACCTATGTATTTCTTTCGACATGTTTCAGTGTATATTGTATAAAATCTGTGTAAGATAGGGAAAGAACGTGTGTTTAGTATAGCCCCTGACTTCATACATGTTGACGGGTGAGGTCAGGGTGCCATAAATTTCTAGATGCGAGCAACCCGACTTTCAATGACCGACTTCCAGTTGAGTAACGGTCGAGTCGCCCGACGAGTAAATGACCCTTGACCTTGCAACGCTAAAGAGTGCTGCCTCGAGAGTTAAGTAGGTAAGAAATCTACCATGATCGTAGATTCTTCCTACCTCCTGTAGGTTTTATTATAATCTCTTATTTCATAAGGTGACTGACCGGCTAAATGAAGTGTTATACCACTTGTGCCAAAATGTTTAGTTTTAATCGTTTTCATTGTGGCACCAACATCTGAGAGCTTAGATTTTTTCAATTTCGACGATGTAGCCACATTAAAAATGCTACAGTATGTTTACAGCCACCTCTGCTGGCGGCACAATCTTCGCAGTTTACGTTTAATACTTCTTGATCCTTTTCATTGCATTCTAAACTGCAATGATAAGGTGTGGTACGTACGCGGTGTTCTGGCGTGATTCTACATTTAACCGTACATACTTAAATCACCTACTCTTTTAACTAGAACATAATCAATAACATCATTGTCATAGCTGTTTCTTGCCGATCTGAAATAAGTTTCAAATAAAAATAAATAGCCTTAAGTATTTTGTTAGTTAAAAAAATACTAATAAATAAAAAAGGTTTAGAACATCTGTTCAAACTTCTATATTTGCAACAAAAAAATAATTTGATAAAATGGCCTTACGTATTTTGTTAGTAAAAAAAAAATACAAATAAAAAAAGGTTTAGAACATCTGTAACGTTTAACCCACTACATCTACATCCTAGGGACCTATCCTACTTCCTACTTATATTATAAATGCGAAAGTTTGTGTGTGTGTTTGTTTGTTATCTTTCACGCAAAAACTACTGAACAGATCTGGACGAAGTCTGTAATTTGTCTTTAACGTAAAAATTTAATGGTAGGTAGGTACTTCTAATATTTGAATTTCATTCTTCCATTACGATATTAGTTGCAAATTTTGTTTTGATAAAACAATTTAGAACAGATAAACTATTAAGCATCAATAGTAGCAAGGAAAGTTTACTTACCTATGCATTTTTATTCCTCGCATTTCGGCGGCAACGAAATTATTATTTGTTAATAAATAATGTGCAATTTTTAATCCATTTATTTTAGGTAGATTATCCGATTGCCCTTTTTCGAATCCTTCGTCTATTTTATTAATCGAATAATATTTAATATTATTAGACTATAAACTTATTCATATTAGATAATTAACATATTAAACGTGATTCCTATATTATCTCGTTTCATTGGTATCTTGGTTTGCGTTCTAATCTGCAATGTGATGGGATGGGATTCTACGGGCGCTTGTGCACTACACTGAATTTTCATGTCTGGCGGTCCGATTTTTTCAGGTCCGATATGTCAAGCCATATATAAGTAATGCTAGCCTGTGCACTGTCAGGAATTTTACCGTCCGGGATTTTGCTTTTCTCTATTCGCGGACACGGTTTTCAGGTGCACGTGATGGCGGCAATGAAACACGTCTAATGTGCACTGCTGTGTCCGCGATCCGGAAAATTCATAAAGAATAGGCTTGGGAAAAAATAATCGATTTGTGTAAAATCGATATTTATTTCGGCGATATTGTTAATTTCCAATAAACTTATAATCGATATTTATTGTAGATTATAAAATGCTATATTTTATATGATGATTTTATATAGTTGGTAAATATCACTGCATATGCTTTGGCAAACTCGGTATAGTTCTAATTTGATCAGCGTATGGTTCTAGTATCGATACTTAGCTAGATTTTAGAATCGTATTAAAAGTATCGATAACTTAAGGTAAGATAGATAAGTGTTGTTACGCTTAGACACCTAAACAACTGAACCCATCTTAATGGAAATTAATATAGTAAATAGACTTTATTTTAAGAAAGGACATAGGCTACATTTTATCACGAAAAATAGGGGATGAAAGTTGGCCTGGAAATTTGAAATTATCAAAATTGATAAGTATAGATAAATATTGAATAACAGAAGTAATAATGAAGAATAAACAAAAGATTAACAGAAGTAATTATTAAGTGACCCTCAATGTCTTATTCGCATTTAATAAAATTTGAAATGACTGTTTGTGTCATAAATAAATTTAAAAAAAGAAGTATTCTAAGGGAAAAATATTTCTGCTCAAAGAAACTACACCACGCGTATAAAATTATGCCTATATATAATACAGTCAACTGATCTCGTAAAGTTCATTTAGCATATTAATTCTCCGCTTACAGAGCACTTAATTTGTTTACGAATGGCGCCACCGATTAGTCTATCTCTGTAATCGCTTAAATTTGTTTTTACAAAACTTAAAAAAAATAGCATGTTTATAAATTTAAACATCAAGTACCATTATCAGTAATTTTATTCTAATGTCACAGATATTTTTAGCTATTGTATGTAAATAATGCTGTCCCTAAATTAGTAAGGGTATAAGTTTTTACATCTGAATAGTAGTCTTATCCGATAGTAATAAAAAAAATGCTTTCGTCTTGCCTCAATTTATTATGGTTTATGTAAAATGATCAGGTCGTTATTTAGGTACCTTTCTACGTCTTCGAACGCAATTACCGACGTTCCAAAAATCTCATCGTACCTAGCGTAAGTGACGTGTAGCTTCAAAGAGAGCTGCCCTAAACTGCGCCGCTCCGATCAGGAAAAAAACGGACAAGTGCACAAGCTACTCATCCGGGTTTTTCATGTCATTCCGGACCGAAAAAAATCGGACCGCCGTACCTGAAAATTCAGTGTAGTGCACAAACGCCCTATGGGTTTCATCTGAACACAGGTGCTAGATGCGCAACAGTGGAAATTTAGCATAAGCGAAGCAGATCATAACGTGTCCTGTCATTGTTGAAGTAAGGTAAAATGATTCGACATAGAGCAGTTGAATTAATAAAGCAATTACCTGTATACTTCATACCTTTCTGATTATCATCATTCTTACCCTAATCTCTTTCCGGTGCGACATATCGGAGGGAGGAGTTACCATCACGATATGTAGAATTTATTAGGAATCGAAGCGTCGTGACAACAGCTTTATTCGAAAATGTTTTTAGACATAGAAGGCACAAAGACGACGATGGGTTTGGGTGATTTTCAAAGAATCCGAATTTAATATATTCCGCACAGTATTGCCGTCTCTTCTTCTTTACTTCCGTGATGTGGTTTATTAGCAGAGTTTACACAGCGTCAGAATAAACAAAACAAAAGAAAAGATTATTATGGCTAAATGACAGTTTGTTTGTTTTCCCTTCAAGCAAGATACACATCCGAGTTTAGAATTTGTATTAGGAAAACTTACCCCTGTTGCTAATTTATTTCTAAGTAGTAGTAAATTACGTCTATCACGGTCTATACGGTCTATCAGTGAATCCTTTTCAGTCGCTGATGCAAGAGCTGATCCCTGTAAACAGCAGTGTTTTAATTTATATACGCCTCTTTCTACTACACCTTTCAGAAATACTCGACCTGAAATCACACATTCATTACTTTTAAAAATCTCACACCTTTCATTTCCAAATACTGCTATGTAACCTTTTTTTCGCAATAGTACTTACGCTCAATAAGTTAGTTGATAACTTAGGAACATACATAGCATTAGTAACTGACATTCCTCCTAATGAATTGCATACTACCGTACCTTCTCCTTACACTTTTGTATACCACTCTCTCTTGTTTTTCATATGTGACGACGCTCCTGAACCGAGAACCCAATCCTCGTTTCCGAAATCTCCAGCTGTAGCTAATGCAAAAACGCTTCCTTTTGCTTCTTTGGATTGTTAGGACATTCGATCGCTTTATGTGCAGCATCACAAATAAAACATTGAAGCTTCTTAGCTTTTGGCTTCTTCTTGCCTTTTTGTTTTGATAAAAGTGCAGAAGTCACAGACATATTCATGTCTCGTTCTTTGGAAGTAGAAGTGGCAAACGTATCTTCCATTTGAAAAAGCTTGGTCTTCACATAGTCGGTAGTAAGCTGGATGTTACTGTTCTCTATAGCTAATCTCATTGGTTGAAATTCTTGTGTAAGACCTTGAAGAATCAAAGCAGCTAATAGCTCATCATCGATCTCTTTTTCAAGATCTGACAGCTCCTGAGACGTTGTCATTACTGCAGTGACATATTCTCGAACAGTTGAAAAACGCTCTAGTTTGTAACCTACTAGTCTTGATAGCAGCCTGCAGCGATTATTTAGGCTCTTATCCTCAAAAGCATCTCTTAATGATTTCCATGTTTGTTTAGCTGTCGAGGCCTTTTTGATATGAATTAAACAATGAGGTTTTATCATCAAGCAAATCTTGGCCCTACTCCGCTGATCTCTCTTTGTACCTTGTACGTCACTTACTGCACTGGCTGGAGTCTCTCTCGTGTACTCCAATAAGTCTGCATCGATTAGGTACATTTCCATTTGGAACTTCCACGTAGAATAGTTTGAATTACCGTCAAGCTTCTCTTTAATGGGTGTACTACTCATAGTTCCAAAATACGAATCACTCTTATAACTCGAATTACCTCTATCAGCGACTGTACTCATACCATCGCTATTCTCTCTAGACATTCTTCAGCGTGGTGGATTTTTACGCCCATAACCCTGATGTGGTTTATTAGCAGAGTTTACACAGCGTCAGAATAAACAGAACAAAAGAAAAGATTATTATGGCTAAATGACAGTGTCTAAATTATTTATGGACCTAGGTATAAAAACCTCTGTTAATCCTAAGCTCTAACATACTGACATTGTTTTGTTTTGTGAAATACGTAAGTAAGTGTTGAACTTAAGTAGATACTGCTTGTTTAACTATAATGCGCGAAACCGCAAATGAAAATAAAATAAATTTTACGTTGTTTATAAGTATAGGATTGCATAAGTAGCACGCACCAACAGGAATAAGACAAACATGGATAGACTTGTTTATCTCATTCGACGCTTAATTGTACTCAACAAGAAAGAACAAGTATTATATGAACACAATTATAAATAAATACACAATTCGGGTTATATGTTAAAATATCAAGCCCGCGACCTACTATCTATGAAAATTACCTATCTAGGAGTACTAATAACTATTATATGCGATAGTATATCCGTAGCTATTTTAAAAAAAGAACACATAATGTCCTTTTTATAAGTAAAATGACCCCTCAATCAAACTCATCGAGAATTTAAAAGATATAGAGATCATTTTAAAACTTAATACACTAGACAAAAAAATAAAGAAATGGAGGCAGAGTTTAGTGCTATTCCAGCTTATCTTTGTTTCACTTGTACTTCTGATCTATCGATTCAAACTCGACAATTAAACACGACAATAATTACTAACGTGGCCAAAAACTGAAGAGTCAAATTGACTTGACACTTCACCGAAGATATTCCGGACGTCAGTCGTTACGGGAACAGTATGGCTCTCAAACAACAAGGCACCGTCTTATAATCATCCTTTATAATCTCAGATCAAACACGCTAATTATTAAACCATTGAACTTGTCACTTGTTTAAACCTGTAGTAGGGATATTGCCATATTTTGTAATATTAGTGTCCGTGCATTTGAGATTACGCATAGGATATCGCTCTAAAGTCAAGACCTCAGACAATTGAAGCGATAGCACAGATCATGAGTTTGCATTCCGTTGTCGAGGAGATTTGTGACCAATATTGACAGATTGTGAATCCCGCGAGTAAAGAAACACTTACGATTCTCCATGCATTTTATATGGGTGCGCGATTCCTGCGATATCTTTCAACGAGATCGAATTGCATCAAAAGCCTAGAAGTATCTAAAATAAATAATGAAAATATATTCATAAAGTTTTATAATGTTATTGTGTACGATAATAGTCGTACACAATAACCTTGTAAAACTCACAAGGTTGTAAAACTTACGTGGTAGTAAAAAAAAACTGAATCATATGAAAAGTCTCATTTAACGAACATGTTAGTGTCACCCTATTTAAAGAAACAAATAGCCTCTGTACTTGATATCTCCCTTTCAGCTGAAAATACTCTGCTCTAGTAGTCTGTGGAATAGAAGTACTTAAATCAAAGAGTAAAACAAAATAAAAAAACTTTGATATATTTTAAAAATATTTTTTACTTTAGGAAAAAGAAAAGAAAGAAAATGAATGATATTTAGCTGGGTTTTGTTGCTAGCGGTAAATAGTTCTCATAAATAATATCTGGGTAAAACATGGTTTGTTTCTATTGTTCAGTGAACAAAAAAGCGATGTCAATAAAATAAGCAGTTCTGGTGCTATGTAAATTTTACTAAGTGATTTTAAGAATCATGAGGTATAATAAACAAGAGCTGTTTGCGTTAGCATCACAAACATCTCAGAACTTCGATAGAGAAGGTGTTCTTGTGCTAAGAGAGCGGCAAGATGGATTCTTTCGCAGATCTGAAGGTCAGTGGTCATACACAAACTATTGTGATGTTTGTTAAGTCATGTGTATTCATTTTCCGTTGTGTAAACTATAATACTTTATCATGTATTTCTATTATAGTTTATATAAAATATATCAAAGGGATAAGATCTTTAAGTATAGATCTAAATTCTTTGTTATTTATCATATTGTTTGTTGTGGAGTTACTGTGAGTTTATGACTACTTTATTTTTTTTGTAAATATGATTAAATTTGCTTTTATTTGAACTGGAGCATTTTAAATAAACATAATTATAATCCATTCATTATAAAATAAGAAAAAGAGGGTTATAGAAGCAGCAGTGCAGAACTTTTTATTTTCAAGATAAATTTAAAAAATATAATTTTATAGTTTTGTTGAAACTTTGAACGCGGTAGTTATATTTAAAGAACTTGGGTTTTGTTATATTGTCTTAATTGGAAGGAAATATACAATAAGATTTTGATAACACTTTGCTGTTATGTTTCCATTGGGAGTAACTACAATCAACATTTTTAAAACTTTTATCTTTTGAATATTAAAAGGTATGAATGTTTTGTAAATATTAGTCTACAGTAGCTATAATTATCGAAACTAATAGGATACATGTAAAAAGGCAAGTGGCCCATAAGTACTCTTTAGATCAGTGTTTCTTAAACTTGAATAAATGTCACCGCAGGGATAAATCGGCTATTATGTGACAGTTTTCCTAATAGGCCCTAGGCTTAACAATCACTTGGATACTAAGAATAAATATCAGAATACCAACTTATTTTGATTTTATTTCGTTTTGCTTTGTTTATATGAAATTTATTTTATTTTAGTTTCTTTATAATTATTTATGCTGCATTTTTAGCCTTTCAGCCCTGTTCGGGATTCAAGTTAAAAGAAGGTAGGTTAAAATTATAAATATTTTTTGATGCTTATTTAAATTCTATAACTTCTAATAATTGGTGATAATATGGTGATATGATATGCATGTTAATCATAATATTATTAACATGGCTTATGTTACTTATTTTCTGCTAATTAAGAGTTTCGGATAATTAATGTTTACATGTAATACCACTTTATTAAATTTCTACAATAAGTTTCACAGAATTCATAGATTTTTTTTTCATAGAAAGAGGTTGGAATGGTATTATGTGCTTTTTATGACAGTTTGAAGCTATTTGTCTGTTGTTATTTTTAAGTGAATATTTTTGAGTGGAGTGGTGATGGTGGGAGCTGTGAATTGTTAATGTAAATCCCCAATTTTGTTAAATGTAATGTGATAATGGTACCATTTTGCTTACCTGTGGTCTTACCTAGAAACTGAATCCAATCAGGGTTTTAGTTGTGTGGTAGAGCTACTGGAGTACAATGGTGCCTTTATGAATTGAGGGTATTTCCTTTAATCTTACTTCAGGTTGTTGTGTTAACACAACTTACCTACTTACTCCTCTGGCTCAGTGCCCTGAAGCGTGTGTTTCCACCTTTATTGATAAACTAGGTGTTTGCTAGTGGCTTTGTGTGGTCCTGCATTACACATATACACTTTCCTCTTGAATCACTGTATGTTGACAGCTGCATTAAAGAGGATTAAAACCAGTTGTGTAGTCTCAAAAATCTCAGTGTACAGACAACGAAAGTCACTTTGTTTTATATTATATTGTGCCTTATATATTCTTTTTGTGCGCTTAGCCACATATCTCCCTTCTAACGTTTTTCTATGTACTGTAGTTTAATATCAAACTTTAATAAACATATTTTGTTAACTGAAACTCATTATATAATGCTCTCATTATATAACCCTTCTAACATTTTTCTGTGTACTGTTGTTAGTTTAATAAGAAACTCCAATAAACACATTTTGTTAACCTAAAGTCATTATACTAGCTAATATAATGGAGTAAGTTCAAAGAACAAATGAAAACAAAAATAATGAGCATGTCTGTCAGTAGCAATAGGTATATATTTAAGTAAGATAAAAGACGTATCTTTTGTTTTTGAAATGATAAATAAGTTTAGGCTAATAAGCACAGTCTACTCCTATCACTGATCTTTACTGTAGGTGTACAAGCATTCCCTATGGATGTAATTGAATAGGGAGAATGGGCCATAACTCACCACGCAGGTCCAGTGCTGATTGGTGGGTGTTAACGGATGCTGATGCAACCAATGGCTTATCTATATATATATAATTTATATATATTAAATAGTTATTGCTACGTGTATATTAAATAAATTTTATATTGTTTTAGGCTGTTCAGTACGATGGTTCCGTTTGAGGGGTAACTTGTTATTCTATTTGAAAGGACCTGAACCTTGGTACGAACCTATGGGTGTTATAGTCCTTGGCCATCATCAAGTTAAGCTGCAGGCCCAGGATGAAAATGGCCAGTGGCCCTTCCATATTGGTAATGAGAATTATTGAGCATTCATTTTTGTTCGTCCTTTTTGTATTGGTAAGCGCTGTAAGTAATTATTAAAATTTTATATTTCAGTATGGGAAAACGGTGTTTGTTATCGTATGGCTACCTTTCATGAATCGGAACGCACGCTATGGTTGCAGGCAATTCAGATGGCCTCATATGAATATGTAAATACACAGATTGCAGCATTAAAAGAAAGACTGAACAGGATCAGACCCATTATTGACATAACCAGTTACAGGTTACAGAAGGGCATTATGACAGGTGTGTGATTCTTTGTGTAAATAATACCTATGTATGTTGAGCAAATCTTTTAATGTAGTAGGTAAAGAATTTGCAAATAAAAAGATTTAAGAATTTTCTACTACTTACGTAACTGGCTCTTTATTTATAAATAACTAGCTGACCCGACAGACTTCGTCCTGTCAAAAAGATTTGTAATGTGGCAGTTTTTTTGCCTACGTATTTAAAAAAATTCTGATGCATTTTATCTCGCGTGCCGAAACTAATACAAAAGAAACGCGAGTTTCGGAACGCGACATTAAACTCCTCCAACTATGTATTCTGTGCTCCAACGCACACACGCACATTGTTTTGATAGATATGATCTTTGACGTTAGGAACACACCTACATTGCTTAGACAACAGTGAGTGCTTGTAATTTAATATGAACTTTATACCATAGCAATAAAGCTCAAATTGACTACGTTTTAGTTACAAATCATTTGTATGGGAAAAAGAAAAGGGCTATTTTTAGGGTTTTTCCAGCAATAATTCTAATTTTTCTCGCCGTAAAAACCATCCTTGAACTTCAACGAACATTTTAAAAAAAGATTTGGCCAAATTGGTCGAGGCGTTGTTGAGTTATGCGCTTACCAACACATTTTGCGATTCATTTTTATATATATAAGATATATATATATAAAAATGAAATTGATCTAATTAATCCATGCTCATTTCAGATATGAATGAAGTACCATTATGCGAGCTAGCTTTGTCATGCGACAACTTATTATGCGACGCACACGGTAGGCCTCCGTCGCCTATGGCAGTAATATACGTCAGATATCCCAAAGGCCTCAGCATCAGATACGGTTCCACAGAAACTATAGAGGTAGTTATTGCTGATGCCGCCTGACGCTGCACCGCATTAATACAAAAGAGTTTTCATGCAAATGTCTTCACTTGTAAGGTAGCACATATAGCCTGATACAAATACCAAGTTTCAGTATGGAGACCAAACATTAAAACATAACAGCTGTTTTTTTTTATTATGAGGGTATCATATATTTCCTTTTTAATATATGAATTAATCCATCGACATTTTCTTTCGAATTATTTCTCAATGGCATGATAAGCAAAATACATATAAAGTGACTTTACGTATTTTCGCGCTGTTACTTATATAACTTCCATGAAATACATATTTTTTTTAAATATTATATTTGGAAACTTATATTTTTATAAAAACACGGACAATAAAATTTAAAAAAAATATTCGTAAAAAAATCAATAATATTAACAATGAAATACGACTTCATTCGAAATAACTGTATTGCGTTAAGTATATTTTGTTTTGAATCCAATGAAAATTTCCATGGAAATATTGCATAAATAGCCTTATAATTATTTATGAAGCAAAAATATACAAACTTGATTAAAAATCTTCCAGGCTTATATCGAATTATTTCCGTTTTTCTCGTATTTGTATCAGGCTAATGTTTTATTGGCTATAGAGGTGGATTCTTGACTTTTGGTGGATATTGTAGACTTATAATAATATCCAGAGCATGGGGCGTTTACGCGAAGAACAGAAAGAGTTCAAAATGTAAAAGAAAACTTTTTATTCAAATAACATCCAGTTTAGTAGTGACTTCTTTAAAATTAAATTTGCACTATATCAGAATTGATTTACTTAGATTAAAGAGTGTGTTACTGACCCCGTGTGATCTCTGCTTTATGTTATTACTCTTGCTGATACAGACTTGCAGTAACCCGTCGTTCTCGAAGACGATACTGTTCCGGGCCAGCGATGGTCTCACGGGGGAGGCCCACGTTAGGATAGTGGTGTACGACGTTAGAGAGAGAGTCACCGAGACCGCGGTACCGATGGGGTTCATGGCATTACAACTTACTACCATACAGGTAAACGTGTTATTGTACCAGTTAGTAACTTTAATAAATGAATATTCAATATGTTTACTTTTTATTATGTACGTTAATCCGAAGCGCATCGCGAATCCGCCCGACATCTACATCAGCTAGAACCCGAGTGAACCAACACGGGTGTAGACAGTAAACGAAAATAAATAAATACATACTATTATTTTTTCTAGTAGTGTTTAATATACCATTACTGATAATAACATTTGTATGCTTTTTATATTTATAATATTGCTTGAATTAATTATATAGGTATATTATAAGAAACAAATATTTTTTACTTGTTGTCACGTGACCGCAAACAGCGCGTGACTTTAACCATAGTAGAATCTTACTTTTTAAACAATTTTATTTTAGATATATTTCATGTATATCTATTAAATAAAAATATTAAAAAAGTTGCCTACACCCCTATTGTATAGAAATCTGAATTTCCTTAAACACAGTGTCATAAATATTAGATAATATCGCGTCATACAAAGCTCAGATTTAACAATTAAATGGGTAGTTCAAAAACTTGGTTTATGGAAATCATAAGCAACGAAGGTAACATCACACACTCATTCTGTTAGTTAACCCGACCGGTAAACGAACCCGAGACCTCGGACAGCAAGAAATCGGAGGTCGTCATTTTATGTGATTTATATGACTTTATATTATCGAGTAGCTCTGTGGCGCCCCAGCCCGCGATCGTTGTTGTCAAGCAACTATCGTAAGGTTTGGTCACGGGATGGGTGACCAAAAAAATATCCCTCGGTACTTGCTGCAATTGCAGTCGTTCACTAATCGGCATTCTGCCAGCGTGGAGAGTCATGAGCCATCCTCCTTAACCATCTATATGGAAGGCCTGAGCCTTTGCCGTGGGGACGTAAAAGGGCTGATGATGATAATATTACTGATGTTGTAGGAAGCGCAGCGATTACGCGTGGCTCTGATGACGCGCGACAACAAAACCGTCGGCTTCGTCACCATCAACGGATGGAGTTTAGAACCCTCGTACATTGGCACCAGTCCTAGCCACACTAACGACAGGAACAGCATCGACATACCACAGAAAGTGCTCTGCCATAGACGGTCGCAGTCCTTGCCGCCGCGGCTCGGGCTCAAGCTGAAGTTCCCTTCATACGGCAGCCTATTGAAGCAGAACTTCGTCAATAGCCACCAGGTCACGTATAGGTTTCACTCTGGCTTGGGTGGTGATATCACGGTCCACGAAATTATGGCGGAACCGAAGCTCTGCTACCAGATGCCTATGCAGCTGCTGTAAGTTTAAAGAATTTTACGAATGCTTTATTGTAAACATTGCTCGAATGTAAGAAAATGTGACTTGGTGGGTCAAATCTAGTGATGTGGGTTAGATCTAGTGATGTTATACAATTGTCGATTAAGAATATTGTGATTCGAAGATGCCTGATTCTCTATCTTTTTTACCTTCTTAAGGTATAATAGAAGTATATTATATTTGTAACATACTATTTGGTTTAAACCAAGTACTAACTTTAGTCCCCCTTATATAATAAGACGGATATAGTTTTGGGAAGTCAATAAACTATGTTAACTTTTAGTATCTGCTAATTGTTATGTTTATTTACAATAAAACGGACATGTTAAAGATGGTTTATTATTAATTTTAATTGGTAACTTAAGTCTTTAAAATTCGACATGCGATTGCGGAGGTTAAGCAAATATTGCGGGAATGATCATAAGATGGGCGGGCAACACAAATTTATTGTCTCGAGCCCCTCTGTTCTTCACAAAGCACGTTAAGCCGTCGGTATCGGTTGCGTCTACAGTCGTTAGCAACCACTAGTCCTCGTTGGGCCCATGTAGGTAAAAGCCCGTTTCTATTATACGGAGATATATTCCGGTGGAGGGACTTTAATGGGCTCATGATGATGATATTCTTTTCTATAGTGACATTTACATCCAACGCGAGAAAGAGTTGTTGGAGGAATTGCTATCCGTTGGCGAGATGTGCGGACAGTGGCAGAGTCGTCAGCTCGAGTTGGTGACAGTTCATGTGTCGCTGCTGAAACATTACTGCCACTCGAAACGGTGCATGGAGCAAGTGGACAACATGTACTTTAAAGCCAGCAGTAGGAAAGGTAACGGTCTCGCATATGTGACATAACACGTTATTACCTAAGCTTATGAATGTTCTGATCAGAATCTAACAACATATGTACTTTCATCAGCTTTGGGCTGTATTCTTAAATCGATTTTATATACAGTGGTGTCCATATAAATAAGAACGTTATGAAGTTATAGAATGTTTTAAATGAAAGGTGCCCAATTTTTTTTAATATTACTTTTTTGTAAGTATTTACTTACGTATTCAGAGAGCCAGTTAAGATAAACTAAAGGATAGACATATAAAGTTAGTAACTTTTTTTGTTAAAGTATATTTATTGTGGACAGTATATGATTATGAATTGAGAGTGAAGAAATTCCTTTACCGAGCGGGCTGTATGTTTTGGATCATTATCATCCTAAATTTTCCAAATAATTGGAAGAACGTCTTCAGCATGGGGTAACATTGTTTTTGTATTACCAATACTGTATGCTGTGAAATTTATCTTTATCTCACATGTTTGTATATTTTTGTGCATGGTCACTATGTGTAAAGGCCACCAACAACGTGACATTGGCTGAATTGTGTAAATAGACCATAAATTAAAAAAAATATATAAGAAGAATTACTGATCCCGATAATTCTGATGCACCAGATTGTTCTTTACATGAATAATCATGCATATAATAATAATTATTATGTACTACAGAATTTGATTTAAAAATTGTTTGTACGTAACCATGTTCTTTGTTATCTACATTATAAACGCTGGTATGAAGTGTTTTGTTTATGAAAAAAGCTCATACGGGTTTACATAACCTTTATAACTTCAGACGAGGCGAGTTTAGAATTCGCCCCAGTTAACTTGCATTTGCAACGTATGTGGGTGCACAACGACACGCTCAACCGCACCGGATCCCACGACGTGGTCACAGCGGGCGCGTTCGCTGCGCACACGCACAAAGCTGAGAGGACGGGCGGTTTAATTAGGTAACATAACACGTACGAATACGGTTGTAGACAGTGAACGGAAATAAATACATATTATTTTATTTTCTGGTAGTGTTTAACATTCTATTACCTATAATATATAAAGCTTAATTACCACTCACTGACTCACTCACTCACTCCATGCTTTTTTCGGGTAGAAGGAGGTGGTAAATGACATTTTCATGTATGGAGACTGACTAATATTTTTTTATAATGAGTTGAAATGGCATTGCGGTTCAGCCAAAAAACAAAATGGCGGCGAGATAATTTTTTTAGTTTCTACATTATTCACTCTACGGTTACGATATTCAAAATGGTCGTAGATTTGGCTAAAAAAATGAGCACTGGAAAAAGGTTTGATTAAAAAAACAAAATGGCGGCCGAGATATTTCACCCGGAAAATTGGCATTTTTCGACCTCTGTTCGGGCAATCGTCGTTTCTTTTGTGGTGGGTTTGGAGGGGGGATTTTTGCGCCGGCACTCGGAAGTATAGTCGATTTTTACGTACGGGGAGTTTTCATTTGCGCGTCAACATGGCGGCGGCGGGGGCGGCCATTTTGTTTCGGCAATGAAAAATCGCCATTTTCCAGTGAGATTTTCTCCAAGATGGCGGCGTCGGACGGATTCGCGTTCGTATGGGCTGGTCGTGGGGCTCGCTGCTAACTTTTCTAAGTTGGTAATAATTTCTACCATTTTCGTGGTAGTTTAGGAGATTTTGGGAGAAAAGTGAAATTTCGAAATACGCACTTTTCGCGGAAAACAGACTCGATGCGGTGTGGCGCCGGGGGAGCCCTATGACTTTTGGTAGTTTTCGTTTCCGCGAGCTGACAACCCTGGGCTCCACGGTAGAAAACATTTTTTTCGACATGCCCTCCTAACCCGAATTGTTTGGGAACCTGGGTGGCCAGCGGAGAAAATCTGTGAATGAGGTGTCGCGCCAAATATAGTCGTGACTATGGGAAAATTATGAAACTCGGGAAAATCAATATGGCGGCGCCGGCAGCGGCCATTTTGTGATTTTTTCACTTTTTCGAAAAATTCAAACGCACTTTTAGCCACATGGCAACATCGGAGCTCTTCGCCTGGTATGGACCGGTCGTGAGTCTCCGCCGGCTCTTTCGAATGAGGTGAAAATTTTCCCCGATTTTAGGGTAATTTCGGAGATTTACCCCAAAAAGGTGAAAAATAGAAGGAGCCGTTTCGGGATTTCAAAAATGCATTTCCTCGACGGAGGGCACTCCCAGAAATGACATTTGGCTCATTTTCATCGTCGTCACCTGGCAACCCTGGTGATTGCGGCGATTTGAAAAATTTTGCCCATTTTTTACTTTGTCGACTCTAGCGCAGTCAGTATTGCCACTAGGAAAATGGTAAAAACTGCATCGGATGCGCTATCGAGTTGGCCACACCGGTACGGAGCCGGATTTTCAAAATTCAAGATGGCGGCCAAACCAGCGGCCGTTTTATCCGGAAAATTGGGTATCGTCACCGCATCGAGCCGATTTTGACGCACTTGGCGACATTTGTCAGAGTACTTCCGGGGAAACAATTTTTAGGCAAGTAGCTGAGGTGTTGCCAGGTGAAAAAAAATCTTGAAAATTTTTGATACTTTGTGAGATTTTTGAGGAAACAATTTTTGTCGAATTTTTGAACTTTTTTGATGCAAATATTTTAATTTTAACTTTTCAAGATACCCGATGGAAAAAATAGAACGATCGACTGGCAACACTGAGAGCAAACAACGTTTGAAATTCAACCTCGATTTTGACCGACTTGGCAACCCCGCAGGTATTTGGCATGTATGGAGCGATTGTGCATCTCTATAGACTCTTTCACATGGTGGAAAAAAATTACCCGATTTTAGGGTAGTTTTTGAGATTTACCCCAAAAACTGTAACTGTCAAAGGAACAATTTTAGAACTTGAAAATTGGTATCCGTCGATGGAGGGCGCATCCCGAAATCACATTTGACTATTTTCATCGCCTACACCTGGCAACCCCGGCAGCTACGGCGGTTTGAAAGATTTAATGCCCACTATTCACGTTTTGGACTCTAGCGCAGTCACTATAGCCGCTAGGAAAATAATAAAAACTGCGTTGGATGCGCCAATAGATGGGCTACATAGGTCTGAGGTTGAAATTTCAAAATTCAAGATGGCGGCTTAAACAGCGACCATTTTATCTAGAAAATTGATAATTTTTCACGACTTTCACTTTATAGAGCTGATTTTAGCGTTTTTGGTAACATTTTTCCGAATACTTTTAACCAAAAATATGTATTCAGCTGAAATGTTGCCAGATGAAAAAAAAACGGTAAATTTTTTGATACCGAGATTTTTGAGAAATTTTCATGTATGTCATTGATGAAAAATATTAAAATATTTTTTTACAATGATTTTACTGTTTAATAAAATTTTTACTGTTGCATTTATAACATAATTGATGGAATAATTTGAGTTCTAGCAACACTGATAGTAGTCACCATATTAATTTCAAAATGATTCTGACTGAGTTGGTGACTCGGAAGCTTTGCATATATAAACCGTTTCTGTATCTTTACTCAATCTTTACGTGGTGAGAAAAAAAAAATCCAATATTTTCACCAGAAAAATAAAGTGAGCGAGAAATTGTCATTCGGTTAGATTAAAACTGCGACTAAAACAAAAAGCGAGCGAAGCGAGCCATAAAAAGTGACCAATTAGAGAGATTTGATTAATTGGTAAGGTGAGAATTGTGACTAAAATAAAATGCGAGCGAAGCGAGCCATAAAGAACACCACCAATAGAAATCTGATCAATCGGTTATGTTAGCACTGTGACTCAAACAAAAAGAGAGCGAAGCGAGCCATAAAGGTTAACTATTAAGAGAGATTTGGTTAAATGGCAAGGTTAAAACTGTGACTAAAATAAAATGCGAGCGAAGCGAGCCATAAAGAACACCATCAATAGAGGCCTGGTCAATCAGTTAGATTAGAACTGTCAATAAAACAAAAAGCGAGCGAAGCGAGCCATCAAAAATGGAGACCTGGTCAATTGCTTAAAGTGCTGTGACCAAAATAAAGAGCGAGCGAAGCGAGCCATAATGCTAGACCATTAAGAGAGACCATCGATTATGTTAGCAACGTGTCTAAAACAAAAAGCGAGCGAAGCGAGCCATAAGGAGTAACTGTTAAGAGAGATATGGTTAGTTGGTAGGGTTAGAACTATGACTAAAATAAAATGCGAGCGAAGCGAGCCATAAAGGACACCATCAATAGAGACCTGGTCAATCGGTTAGATTAGATCTGCGAAAAAAACAAAAAGAAAAGGCGAGCGAAGCGAGCCATAATAAATGGAGACCTGGTCAATCGGTTAAGGAACTGTGACCAAATGTGCTTATAAGTGTGCTAGAAAATGTATCACGGTTATTTTCACGGTTTTTACTTTATAGAGCAGATTTTGGCGTTATTGATAACATTTTTCAGATCACTTACAGAAAAAAAATGTATTCAGTTGAAGTATTGCCGGATGATAAAAACAGTTTTTTTTTTTGATATTGTGATTTTTAGGAAATTTTCTATTGAATAAGAATAAAAGACTACAAGGCGATGTATACAACCTTTATTTTAAGTTTTCTTACGTTTTTCAACTGAATATTTCTTTTTATGTTGCGTGTAAATTGGCAATCTTTTTTTTTATGTATGATGTTTTGCGTAATTAAAGATCTTTTATTTGAAGATAGAACTTACTAACTTTTTCTAGGCAATTTTATACTGTAAACCCAACATAACAAGAGGCGGTCTTAAAACTCCAATGTCTGTATTCACTAAATATTAACTTACTTTTGAATAAGAATAAGAGAATAAATGACTACAAGCCGATCTATTCCAAATTTTATTTTAGTTTTGCTTGCGTTTTTCAACTGAATGTTTCTTTTTCTATTTAGTGTAAACTGGCAACCCTTTTTCTTTGACGTATGGAGCTTTGTGTAATTAAACATAATTCATTTGAAGATAGAACTCACTAACTTTTTCTAGGCAATTTCAAACTGTAAACATAACAAGGGCGACCTAAATCCACCGCTCCGATTCCACAAGCGACTCGTTTATGCTCAAGAACTATACAATAAGTAAAGCAACTAAAACTTGTATAGATTTATTATGACATATGGGTTAGGTTAGGTTAGTGTATGAAAAACAACGCACGAGCCGAGCGAGCGTAGCGAGCGTGCCGCGGCAGCGGCCGGCGAAGTGCCAGAAACGAATCGCTTTTGTTGATGGTAACATTTGGTTTATAATGTTTAAAAGATGATCGTGACCATTTTAATTTCAATTTTGATTTCGATGGACTTGACAATTCAGGATCTTTATAGCGTGTATATATGGACCATTTGTATATTTGTGTATCTTTACCCACACTTTCACATAGGTAAGTATGGAGAAAAGAAAATCCAATTTTTGACACGATGTTTAATACTTAAAATATATTTTTCTATACTTTAAGATTTTTGAGAAAACATGTTCTTTTGATATTCAAAATGAAAATGAATAAAAGACAAAACTTATTTTAAGTTTCTATACAAAATTTATTTTAAGTTTTGCTTGCGTTTTTCAACTGAATATTTCTTTTTCTATTAAGTGTCAACTGGCAACACTTTTTCTTTGATAAATGGTGCTTTGTGTCCTTTAACACCTTTTATTTGAAGATAGAACTTACTGACTTTTTCTAGGCAATTTCAAACTGTAAACCCGACATAACAAGAGGCGGACTTAAAACCCCACCGCCCCGATTCCACCAGCTACTCGTGACCTCCCCGGGCTGCTCGCAGCCCGGGGCAACCAAGCGAAGGCTAGTCTATATCTATAATATATAAAGCTTAATTACCACTCACTGACTGACTGACTGACTCACTCCATGCTTTTTTCGGGTAGAAGGAGGTGGTCAATGCCGTTTTCATGTATGGAGACTGACTATATTTTTTTAAAATGAGTTGAAGTACCATATCGGTTCAGCCAAAAAACAAAATGGCGGCGAGATAATTTTTTTAATTTCTACAGTTATACACTCTACGATTACGATATTCAAAATGGTCGTAGATTTGGCCAAAAAAATGAGACTGGAAAAAGGTTTGATTAAAAAAACAAAATGGCGGCCGAGATATTTCACCTGGAAAATTGTCATTTTTCGACCTCTGTTCGGGCAATCGTCAATTGTTTTTTTGTGGGTTCGGAGGGGGGATTTTTGCTCCTTCGAGCTCGGAAGTATAGTCGATTTTCACGTAGGGGGAGTTTTTATTCGCCTGTCAACATGGCGGCGGCGGTGGCGGCCATTTTGTTTCGGCATTGAAAAATCGCCATTTTCCAGTGAGATTTTCTCCAAGATGGCGGCGTCGGACGGGTTCACGTTGTATGGGGCGGTCATGGGGCTCGCTGCTAACTTTTTAAGTTGGTAATAATTTCTACCATTTTCGTGGTAGTTTATGAGATTTTGGGAGAAAAGTGAAATTTGGAAATACGCACTTTTCGCGGAAAACAGACTCGATGCGGTGTGGCGCCGGGGGAGCCCTATGACTTTTGGTAGTTTTCGTTTCCGCGAGCTGACAACCCTGGGCTCCACGGTAGAAAACGTGTTTTTCGACATGCCCTCATAACCCGAATTGTTTGGGAACCTGGGTGGCCAGCGCAGAAAATCTGTGAATGAGGTCCCTTGCCTAATATAGTCGTGACTATGGGAAAATTATGAAACTCGGCAAAATCAATATGGCGGCGCCGGCAGCGGCCATTTTGTGATTTTTTCACTTTTTCGAAAAATTCAAACGCACTTTTAGCACACATGGCAACATCGGAGCTCTTCGCCTGGTATGGACCGGTCGTGAGTCTCCGCTGGCTCTTTCCTATGACGTGAAAATTTTCCCCGATTTTAGGGTAATTTCGGAGATTTACCCCAAAAAGGTGAAAAGTAGAAGGAGCCGTTTGGGAATTTCAAAAATGCATTTTCCTCGACGGAGGGCACTCCCCGAAATGACATTTGACCATTTTCATCGTCATCACCTGGCAACCCTGGTGGTAGCGGCGATTTGAAAAATTTTGCCCATTTTTTACTTTGTCGACTCTAGCGCAGTCGGTATTGCCACTAGGAAAACGGTAAAAACTGAATCGGATGCGCTATAGAGTTGGCCACACCGGTACGGAGCCGGATTTTCAAAATTCAAAATGGCGGCCAAACCGGCGGCCGTTTTATCCGGAAAATTGGGTAGCGTCACCACATCGAGCCGATTTTGACGCACTCGCCGACATTTGTCAGACGGACTTCCGGGGAAACAGTTTTTAGCTAAGTAGATAAAGTATTGCCAGGTGAAAAAAAATCTTGAAAACTTTTGATACTTTATGAGATTTTTGAGGAAACACTTTTTGTCGAATTTTGAATTTTTTTCAATGCAAATATTTTAATTTTAACTTTTTAAGATACCCGATGGAAAAAATAGAACGATCGACTGGCAACACTGAGAGCAAACAACGTTTGAAATTCAACCTTGATTTTGACCGACTTGGCAACCCCGCAGGTGTTTGGCATGTATGGAGCGATT